TCCCTGCCTCCCATTGACATAGCCGAAGAAGAGAAAAATCGACGGGAAAGTCGCAATGCTGAAGTAAGTTTAGGCTTCGGCACACAAAAACCATCGACTATGTCGCGATTCTGCGGTGAGTTCAGACTCCTGAAAAGACGCTATTTCCGAAGACGATGAGAAATTCCGACCGTAATGGGTACCAAAAAGCTAGACTTTCCCCCTCTATTATTAGATGGAGTCAAACTTGTTTTTTCTATTTGTTTATTTTTTGTTTTTTCATATTAGTTTACTCATCTTATTTATTTAACTTGTTTTTTTATTTTTATTTTTATTCTTTTAGGTTATATATTCTTCCTCATTTAGGTTATATTAAGAATATAAAAAATATATATTAAGAATATAAAAAATATATTACTTTAAAAGTTTCAAAGTCAACCTCTAAGTGAAAGTGTCATCATAATAGACATGCTATTATTAATATATGTTAAGATATATGACAAAAAATATACGAAGTAATATTTTATATTTTTATGAATTTAATTATATAGTGCTACTTTGTCCCCCACGAGTATTTCTAGCTTGGTTTTGAAATCTTTCATATTATATTTGTGTGCACATTATGGAGCATTGGCGAAAGATTATAGAACATCGGTGAGGTTGTAGAATATTGGTTGATTTGAGAGGATTTTAGAAGAATAAAAAAATTTGTAAATATAGAAATATTTAAGTGAAGAGTTCTAGAAAAATATTAGACGTTAAATGATTATTATTTAAAATTAAATATTAGGCATTAAATAATTATTATTTGAAATTGTTTCTTGTATAATAATGCATTTTATCAGTTTATGAATGAGAATGATGTTTTTATATGGATAGAAGTCTCATTTGTAACAAGCAGCTTATGCAAAAGAGGAAGATGTTTATATACAAGTAGAAGTCTCATTTTAATGAGAATAAAATAACCCGTTATTAACCAGCTAGCATGTGAGACACTACCATACTAGCGAGAGAGTGTGGTAGGGTATTGGTACCTGTGAACGTTAGTGCTATGTATTGACAATACCCGTGTATTTTGTCGATATATATATATATATATATATATATATATATATATATATAAATAAAGAAAGAGAAGTATGGATCATGATATGTTAAAAGATTATAATAACAAAACAACAACATTCGCCGAAGTTGATTAGGAGAGATCACGTGGAAGTTGATCAATGTGCCCAAGTTGATGTGATTGACCATTATTACGGTAATACCAACGCATTTCTTTAGCCAAAGACTTCGTTTTTTCCTCTTTCCGGATGGTAAATATTTCTCAGAACATGGAGTGTGAATCAAATCCATGTTTGAATTGAAATTGAGATACTGATGCAAGTTCCCCTCCCCAAGCTGTGCTTGCATTTTTCATTGCACACGGCTTTCCCTATGTATACATCTAAACCTCAGTTCACAAGAAGTTGAATACTCAGTTGATTTAACCCTTACCTACACGCTACATGAACATTTCAAAATAGAAATAAATGGATTTTTTTATCTCTTCATTATTCAGATTATTTAGGAATCATTTACACGATCTCATAACAAATCATTCGTGGTTGGCCAGATCATTGATACAAATAATATCCAAATACCAAATCCGCCTTCTATATAACCCCTGCGAAGTAGAAGAAGCTCTTGGGAAGGTCAAAGAAAGAACTTGTTCCTCCTCCATAAGGAATTCTTCCAATAATTCCGAGCCTAATCTTTTCAAAAAAGCGCGTACATCCTTGTATACGTGTAAGTTGATGAGGTGGTAAACGTGTAAACAAGAAAACTTGTATACGTGTCCAAATATTTACCAAAAAAAAAAAAAATAATTAATCAATGTAGAATACATTCAACGACAATCTGATCTGAAGCCCTTTCATTAAGATCCCAGCATCCTCGTATTGAGTTTTTTTATTCTTTTTGTTTTTCCACCCCCAAATGCACTGTCTGTACTTCATTTCTACACACATCATTTGTTTTAGATGATGAACAAAAAAAAAAACCTTTATTGCAAGGTGACAAATGCAAGAAATTTTGATGATATTGCAATTTTCATTTCCCTTTATTATTATTATTATTATTAAAAATGGAAAATTATATAAACCCTTAACTCTGTTGTTCCCTTTTAGATGTTATAGCAACTACATTACAATACAAATATAAGAACTAAACTTAGTTTGATGTAGGGACTTTTTTTATAATTTAATTTCAAAAAATAAAGGGAATGGAGAGCTGAGAATAATTGTGAAGCGCCAATATCAACTCCCTATATTATAACCTCCCTAAAAAATTTATTTCCTTATATTATTAAACCTCAACAGAAAGTTAACGGTTAAAAGATTCTCTCTTTTCTCACCTTCATTTGTTTTCCAATTTTAATTTATTTTTGGCCCCAATTTTTTTTTATTTTATATATTTATGTCAAAAGAGATAATTTTTGAAATGGTTACTTTTTCTTTTTTTGATTCGGTCAAAAGAGACAATTTATTCAACATAACAAAATTTTATTTTATTTTGGTCCCATAAAAAAAATTTATTCCAAAAATTTTTTTATTTTATTTGTGTTGTCAAAAGATAATTAAAATATTAAAGATTAGAGATAAGGAGAGAAAATATAAAAGGACAATTGTGTCATTTAAAAAGTAATAATTATTTACTTTAAAGTTAAGGTTAGAATTGCCATTTTATTTAAGATTGTAGCAAATATTGAAAAGTGAAGTATTAATATTGTCTCCCCTTTTTTATTTTTATCTTTCTATATTATAACCTCTCTAAAAATTTCATTTCCTTCTATTATTAGGCCTCAATCAATAGAAAAATTTAATAATAGCCCCAAAAAAATTCAATTAGATTTAATGATTTTAATTTTTTTTTAAAGATGAAAACTCTAAGCATTTTTTTCCTACATATATTATGTTGGTTCTTGCATTCAAAAGATTTGGATAAAGTATTTTGTTTTTATTACAAGTTGTTGTTTAATTCAAAATATAGCACAAGCCAATAAAGAATTAGAGACTGAAAAAATTTTAATGATTGATTTTTTCGCTTGCTTTGTACACTCACAATTTTGTAATATAACGACTTTCTTTCTAGCTCTCTTGTAGGACTAAACTAAACTAGTCTCTTTCATTAGCGGATGATGCATTATCTTTTATTTTATAATACCGTAATTATTATTTTTATCATAAATAATTTTTTTACTTTTTCCGTTCTTTGCTTGTTCTGTTATGTTCTTGCATCAATTAATCCTGTCTAACAAATTATGTCGTTTAATTTCTCTTTCTAGTCAAGTTCTCTTGCTAAGATGCTTTGTGTAGCTTTGACCATTGCTGTGGTTTAATTGTTTGAACCACTAACAGGAGCTTCTTTGATCCCCGAATATTAAAAAGGCACATGCAGTGATTCCCTCAATTTCCAAATACATAAGTTGATTCTAGGGATGATTCTAAAAACATGGGGTTTTGGAGGTTAAAAAGTCAAAAATATGGAGTCAAACTTCAGTTTTCTAAATAAATATAGTTTTATAAAAAGTTGATATGGACATGAAAAAATATTGCGAAATGACCCAACTACCCATTCAATCGATCTTCCATTTCTCTCTTTTATCACTTTCGGGATTGACGGCTCCTGCCTCCCATTGACATAGCCGAAGAAGAGAAAAATTGATGGGGAAGCCGCGATGCCGAGGTGAGTTCAGGCTCCGGCACACATAAACCATCGACTATGTCGCGATTCCGCGGTGAATTCAGGCTCCGGTGAGAAGATGCTACTTCCGAAGACGATGAGAAATTTTGACCGTGATGGGTACCAAAAAGCTAGACTTTCCCCCTCTATTAGAAATTTGAGCGAACCAAGAGTGACATCGGCAAATAAGGACGGGCAAGAAGGGCAAAGACTTTATACTTAAAGAGGGATGGTAGGCCTAAAGTCTCAGGAGTAAAGAGAAGGAACAAAGTCCATGAGAAGATCCTATCCCTAGATTATTGGATCAAGAAATCTTCAACAAATCAAATCTTCATATCGTGTCTTCAAATTGAACTTTAGACAGTCAACTCTATTCCTTACCGCACCCTGACTTACCTTCAGCTGTGTCAATGGCGAGGCAGAGACGTCCTAAAATGATGAAAAGAAGAAAGGGCATATCAAGAGAAAGGGCAGATCAATTCAATGGGTAGTTGAGTCATTTTGCAACAAATTTCCATGTCCACGTCAGCCTTTCATAAAACTACATTTATTTGGAAAATTAGAGTTTCCATTTTTTTATTCTAAAGCAATCATTGAAGTGGCTTCGCATGGTGGTCGTGGCGGCAGCAGCAAAGGTGGTGAAGCCCCGGTGGTCCTACGAATTGGCAGTTATTGAAATTAAGAGAGAAAAGGAGAATTGAGAAAGGGTCACGCAAGGGAAAGAGAGATTAAGAATTAGTGCGGGAGACCGAATAGGTTAATAATCAGAGACGAAAACATCTCAAAGGGTAGATGTGGTATTTGAGATAAAATACTCAATTTATTTATAAAATCAGAAAATGTCAAATCTTTTAAGATTAGAGTGCAATTATAGAAAGAGGGAGTTCGCACATTTGCAAGTTTTTTCTGAAGTATGGTGGTCCGAGTGGTAAAGGCAGGCCTTAAATGCCCCCATATGCTCCCAAGTTCAAATCCCCTTCCCCTAACCCCAATCCCCACTAATTCCTTACTCTCTAACCATTGCCAGGCTTAAAGAAAAAAAAAAAAAGGGAAAAAAATGCTTTGATTGAACAGATGAGCACTTGCTAGTCCCAAACTAACAAAAAAAACAACGGCTTCAGACACTTTCTAGAAGAAGGCTATGTCTCTATTTTCAATTTCTTCAAACATTTTAGAATTACCAAACAACTTATTTTGTTATATTTTTCTTTAAATAATTTGAGGTTAACAGACAATGTTCTTTGTTTTTCATTTTCAAAACAAGCTCAGCATTTCCGTGTTATCAAACAATATTTCAATTATTGATAAACAACATAACATAAACACTACTTGCATTTAAGCTTTAAATGATAAACAGAACCGAGAACGGTTAGCAAGCAGGTCATAAAAGCGAACCTTCGCACAGCACCCGGCAAAAATGAATGAGCAATGGGCACTGGCCAGCACACAGAACAAGAATCTAGCGGACATGATGAGAAATGAATTAGATTCCGTTGATTTGAAATTTGTGTGAAGTGCACAGAGGATATAAATTGGCATTTGAGTTTACAAGGGTATCATCATCAAATAAGCCGAACACTTTCACAATCCTTGGCCGTATGTGTTTTCAAGGATTCGAACCCCTGGTCCATATATCACACGACAACGATCATTGAATGAACTAACAAGCCGAGAGACCACCTCCTTGAAGAACACTGAAGCCATCTGTCATATAGAAAGCCATCAACTGAGTTAGAATTGCTTCAATCTGCTCTTCATCACAACAGAAAACTTCCTGTTTGAAACTCTTAATCTTCTGGACTAAATTTCATTAGTAGCATTCATTAAACGTATGAAACTAGTAATCATGAAGTGTATGCCTAAAATCTTGGTAGCTGGAATTAGGATATAAATCATGAAAATATAAATTGGCATTGAATAATTGGATGTAAACACAATCCATGTTCAACACAGCTACAATATGTTTAGCTCTTGCCATACACAATAAACCGAGAGATAAAAACACACACCACTTCAGCAATTAGGGAAATAATAATAATAATAATAATCCTTCAACCCACATGAGATTAGAATTTGAAATAATCGACAAATTCCTGAAGCAAAAACCTATCGCAATTAGTATGAGGCTTCAACAATTACAAAAATGAACGCTTACCAAAATCAAGTTCACTAAAAAAGTGAAATGTGAATAAGCAGTACTCAAGTCAGTATAAATGAACGCTTACCAAAATCAAGTTCATTAAAAAAGTGAAATGTGAATAAGCAGTACTCAAGTCAGTATACGTTGACAAGTGACAACAACTTTATATATTTCAGGAAATCTATGCATCTCATTCTTGGACCTGATAATCATTCACTAATGGAATAGCTATAAACAAAGAACTCATTCAACCAGTAGGGCCAGTGGTTGTACACGTAAAGCAGTTTAAACCTGACCCATCGTAACCTAATGATAACCCACATCCAAACAATGGCACGGCAAGACCAGGGACAGACATGATTCACTAGTCAAATATTGAGTCTTGCTTAAAATGAACCCGTTCATGGCTCTTCAATGTTTGTTAAAAGAATGGTGATCTCTTTAACTCACATTCATGTGGAGTCTAGGTGTGTGAAACCATGTGAGCTAAAACTTGAAACCATCATGTGAAATAATAGACTATAGAGCTCCATGCAAACCGATAGGGGCACACATTAGATTTCTGAGCCCCATCCAAGACGGTTTCAACCAATAACCTGAATCAACTATTGATTTCACATCTCCTTATGGTGAAACCAAGACCAAGACATATTGCTCCCAAAGGAATACCATTGTTATAGCATATTTAAGTGCAGTTAAAGAACTGAGAATTGGAAACTGTATAAGGTACATGATTTAAAAATAAAATAAAAAAATTGATTCAACCGGACACACGCACAAACATATGTTGGTTCGAAGATTCAATTGAACTAAATTTAGTAAAATATCTAGTTCTAAAGAAAGGAAGAAAATACTGAATCCTGTGGAACTGGCAGAGGGTGGTGAATGCACAATGGTGCCATATCTCTTGGAGATGCAATGGCAGCAGCAGCCTGCTGAGGTAGTGGATGAATTGATGGATGGGGTGATAACAGCAGCAGTATGGAAGTGTTCACAAGTGGAGGCAAAATGGTGCCTTGTATAGGCATGTCTTGCATGGCCATCACTCTCCTCCCCATATGGGTTGGCCGCAAATGGAAGCGTTCATAAAGATGTCCCTTGGCTTATGTTACCTGGACTTCGGTAAGTGTATCGGGTGCAGGGATATCTATCCAAAAGTTGTATAGGGACGTACTACACATTTAGATACATTATATGTTTTATTATAGCTTAATGTTTATTGTTGTTTTAGATATTCATCTGTTGTTCTCCTTTGGGAGAACTCCCCTCTTGAGAGCTGTTAATGAAGTCTTCTTACTTATCAAAAAAAAAAAAAAAAAATACTCAATTATTACTCTAATTACATGTGATGTAATAAAACAAAAGGGCTTCCATCTATCTCATAGACAGGAAACTCATTTCCACTTTCATACTCTCTCCGTCCCAATATAGTTGTCCACTTCGTAAAATGTGACTCACAATTATATGAGTCACAGTTTACAAAGTGGACAACTATATTGGGACGGAGGTAGCTATTTAATCTGAGTTTTTTCTTCTTCTTCAACCATGCCATGTGAAGGATTGGGCTGTCTGATTTAGCTTTGTATGTTGAACACGTATCTTGTACCCATGCCCATGTTGTGTTGTGTCAATATGGGTACATGAAGGAAAGTAGGAGAGTGCATGTAAGGAATCCCTTGGCAACTAATAAGAGTGGTCCACTTGAACACAACCTCTTTCATTGAGGATGGCTTTTCAACTCTTTCTAAAGATTAATCGTTGCAAATTCATTTCATTAAGTTTCTTTGTGTAAACTTTTACGAAGGACTGCTTATTACTTCTACTTATTTTCAGAAACCGTAAATCATATGAACTAGTCTTTAGACAATTATGTTCTTCAAAATTTACCGCATAAACTGAACATTGTGTTCATTCCAAAGATTGAGTAATTAAACTACTTCATCAATTCTCTATTCATGAAGCAATGGTAGCAACGATTAGCTATTATTCTGAAGTTTACAAAGCTACAAAAATGCATAGAATAACAAAATTGGCCAGAGAAACCATCACCTGTCGATAAAGTGGTGACTGGAACTTGAAATCCACCAAGAAATAAAGGCTGCAAGTTCCTGGAACAGGCCCCGGATTGAATTCCCAAACGTTTATCAAATGGTCAAAAAGGTTACTATCTGATACAGTTGTCTGGAAGAGAAACAGAAGGGTAAGATAAACAGCATCATCAGTAAAGACATGTTGGGTACTAACTAGAAAATAAAAAAGTAAAAAAAATAAAAAATAATGCCCATGTCAACATACATAAAAACACTTTTAGAGATCAAAACAATTGATGTTAACCCGTAAAGAAACTTTCATTCCAATATACCACTAAAGACTCAAAGAAGATGAAGCATGAAACCTACAAAAATAAAATGCGCTTGCACAAATGACAAATACAAAAAAGTAATAATAATATTTCGATTTTAAAAGTGAAGCAATATTAAAAGGTTGTGTCCCGTATTCCAATATCTTTATTAATTCCTTTGCCTGAAAAATAACTTTTAAATGAGTATCATATCCATTGATTACAAATTCTTCGAAACATGATACACCAAAACAACTCTTGTTCAGAATATTAGGATATAACGAGAATACATTGCCTGCTAAACCTTAAAATATGTCAAACACGACCCTGCAATAGGATGGCTACATATCACTAGTTGACGCGAACTTTGACTCGTATGGTTGTGTCTGTCTAATCACTTTCTATAAACCCATCCCATGTTAATTTTTATTTTATTCAAAACCCAATCTTCCCTTGCATTACTAAACCTTTTGGCCAAAGCTCTTCTATCCAAACCTCCCCATCGACAACAAAGCTTGACTAAAGAGAACCAAAACTTTAACACACAGCTCCTACTTTATCTGGCCTGCACACTTTACTGAAACTGCACCAGGAGGTAAACTTGTCTTTAACCCACCCCCACAGGAACTCCCATAGTAACTTACTAGTCTCAAAAGTTGATACTAGATAGAGAAAAGTAATACAAAATAGTCCAAAAGACTAAAAAAGTGCTCCTGATAAGCATCAGCCAATCCCCTTCCAAAAGGTAATTCCTTTATCAACATGCCAACCTTCCCCAAAACCTATCTACAACTGAGCGCATATAAATTTTGACTCGAAAGATGATCCCAAAGGCAGCCCCACCTAGGAAGTGGAAAGATTTCCAACAACACTACCCAAATTAGCTAAGAGATCCTTCAGATTCTCAAGATATTACTTGACAAATATTTAGTGAACAAAAAGGAAGCAAATTGGGAAGACGTCTAAAACAGCTCAGACGATTGATGGGAAAGATATTACCTTTACCGATTTTGGTTTTTTTAATTCCACATGGGAAACATAACTTTCAACAAGAAATTTGAAACCAATCTCCAGCTCAGCATCAAATGATCCATCTGGGTGGCGTCGAACAATCTCTGATCGTTGACACCAGGGGAGAAAACCTTCATACAAGTCAACAGCAGCAACAACGGCAAACAGCTGCTCAGGAGAATACCTGATAGCTAAAAACTATATCAACTTATGGAACTAGTAAAAATTCTATAGGAACATATATAATATTAAAATGAAACAATAATAACAGTATCCAAAAAATCTAAAATCCACTGTTGACCGCTAGATGTGATTTCAGCTCAAAACATATACTTTCAAAAATAGATAATAATGAATTAGCCAGTCTCAGCCACATGAATTGATATCCCTAGAAAGCCTACGAAGAGGAATGAATGACAAAGACAGAGTAGATTGGACCTAAAACAAAAACTAGAAATGGGAAATCAAGCCAGGAAGATGAAGTAAATTATTTAACACTACTATACCAGGAATTGATATTCAGTAAGTTGAAAATAAAGTATTTATAAATTGGGATCACTGATACATGAGTCACATTCATTTCCCCTTTCTTAGATATCCCAAATCAAAATTATTTTATTTTAATTCACTGAAAATTAATTTTCCCTTGATAATCTGAGGGAGTGTCAACTTAGGTGGGTTTAACATGCATATAGAAGCACATTAACATTGCCAATGCAAAAGAAAAGAAATAAAAGTGAGATTGTACTGATATTTGGGAACAAAAAGGAGATGAATGTTACGATATGAAATCATGGAACATAATTCTCGAATTGATCCCTTGATTGAGGATTTCATACAAGAAATTCATGGTTGCTTGATCGTGTATTAGAATCTGAAAAGTAAAATTAAGTTTTGCTCTATCAACAATCATTCACATTCACAGACACAACCAAAGGCTTAGCCCAGTTGGTACCACCTGTTTCTTCCAAATATAAGGTTCAGAGCTCTGAGTCCCCAGTGGAACACTAATGGGTGCGTCTGTGATTTATGCACCGAGAGGGGAAAGAAAAAACCATTCACAGATATCTTTGATATGAATCAATTACATAGCAAAAGCAAAGAACTTTCTTTTCAATACTCATAAAATTGTCCCAATTGTAAGCATCATGAATGACATAAAACCAAACAAACTTACCCCAAAACGCGCCTCTCCTCGTAAACTTTGGATAAAACATTGCCCTCTTCTCCATCACCAACACCAAGAAAACTCCTCCTCTGAACAACACTCCGATTACAAATGCTTCCAAAAGCAAAATCACTATCCTTATAAGCACCAATGAGCTTATTGATCGGCAACGGCTCCATACCTGCAATGCTGCTCAAGCATCGAAACTGAGCATAATTTCCCAAATACCCATTATTCTTGGAATACCTCGCCAACTGTTTGATACAATTCCGGTGCGAAACAAGCCGCCCAAGGGCCTTCGAAGTCGACATAAATGGCGGCATTAAGAAACGAACTACTCTCTTATCAATACTCTTAGCAATCGAAAACCAATAGATGTTTCATACATATAAGCCCCAATGATGCCTTAATTTATTAAACCTAATTTCAATACATTAGCATAATATTAGTGAATTAATCTAATCTATATACATATATAAAGAGAGAGAGAATCAATTACATACCTCACAGAACAGCAACAATGCGATGGCAATATATGTGCATGTAGAGAGAGATTATCGCCAGCGAACATCGCGGGCTGAGCAGGACGAAGAGCCAATATACTGTGTCACACAGAAGCCTTTTCGGTAGAAATTTACACAGTATATATTATAATATATATATATATATATATATGTGCAAGTACACAAATGCCCCTGATTTTTTCATTGGCTTTAAAATTTTATATTTATATTTTTTATTTTTTACAGATCCCTCAAATCATTCTAAACCATGTATAACTGAACTTTTATATATTTTTACAATGGCTTCAACATTTTCAATTTTTTATTTGAATTTATTTTTTATTTTCTTTTGACTCTATTCATCTATAATATTTGTTATAAGAGGTCTCTCATATTTATTCAAATATTGATCCCTATACCTAATTGGGAAAAAATAACTGTGTCAATAATTCTGACATATTTTTATTTATTAATATACAATAACTATAAGAAGAATTATGAAAAAAAAAAAACTATAAGAATAGAGATCATATTTAATAAAATAAAATAAAATTTAGATTTACTTTTTTTTTGAACCTTGATCTACTTTGAGGATTTTTGCACATTATTGAGTTTATTCCATTGTGACAATTGGTAACGGAACTACCTCTCTATCAGTGAATGTCCGAATATATTTAACTTTATTTAGATTTTACAATTGTAAAAATTGTTAGAATTCCCTCTAATGTTATAGGCATATATGAGTGGGTATGCAACATTATATTAGATTTGCATACCCACCTATCTAAGTTATTGGATGGTGTCACTGCCCAATAACTTAAGTTTTCAAGTCAAAGAGCAAACATCTGCCTGTTACATTTTGTACATTTTACTCAAAACATGAAAAAGAAACCGAGTATTAATCAAATATGGCACCATTACTAAACTTTCTCTAGACTATATTTGGTACAGTGGAAAAGAAAATGGATGATAACATTAGTTAAGAGAGAAAAAAAGGAAGTAAAGAGATGCATTGTCAACTACTAATTGTGTTCCATTCATTAGTAAAAGAAAAAAAAATATGAAATGATAGTAATCATGTTTTGAATTTTTCATAGATTTTCTTTAATAAAAGTAAAGACAAATTTGGTATTAATAAAGTTATTAAAAATATTAATCTTTCTTTTACTTTCCCTCCATTTTTTGGAAGATTACAAAACCAACCCTTCATGCCTAACCACCCCCCCCCCCCCCCAAAAAAAAATTAGCTCAGTCCAAAGTTAGCCCATCCTATTCAGAAATGCTGGATCCGCCCTTAATTTCCTTTCTTTTCCTTTTAAAAAACTATACCAAACACACCATTTCATTTCCCTCCATTACCTTTATTTTCTTTCCTTTCCTTTACCCTCCAACCAAACTGGTCATAAATGATTGATACTGTATGTATCAAGCTCCAACAAAAACGTAAAAAATTGTCCATTGTCGAGAACAAAATCTGTTTGTAAATTAGGCATTATCAGATTATGATATTGATTCATTCACATATATGGATTCTATTGTTAATTGAAGCTATCTTAAAACAGGCCCTGAATACACGAAAGAAAAAAAATAATCTTATGTTATGTTTGAGAGTGCCGAATTCACTCATTAAATTTGATGGAATTAGAGGAAATTTAAATTAAAGTTTAAATTAAAATTTTTTCAATTTTAAATTTAAATTGTCGATTCGATACTCTCAAACATAACATTAATATAATCACGTCAAATAAGTGATGATTTTTTCCATACGTCGCTAATTCACTCAACTAGTCCAACAAAAGGTTTGGAGTTGCTAACGTCTCCAAGAAGTTGGATAGGTGTCATGAATTGGCATGATAGGTGGTATATTGAATTTATTTTCCTCTGTCCGATCTAAGCCAGCCTAGATTGATGTTTCAGCATTTCTGACCATTCCTTAACTTAGGTCAAGTTTGGTGTATAAAAGAATATTTCATTCAAATAGTTGAAGGTTTTTTTAGCAGAAATGGCTGACTTCTTGTTTCAAGAAAAAACTGGACATTTGCCTAAAACTAAATTTTTAAAAAAAAACTTGGACAATGTGGTGTGGATTTCTCAACTTAGTTTAATTAACTCTATTTGAATCTTAGAGGTAGAGAATTGTAACAAAATTTAGGTTGCTTAAAAATCTGAAACTGGCACCACCTTTAGAAAATTTTATAATAATTGTTCGGTGCACGTGGAAATAGATTCTTCGGAGATCATATCTTGATGCTGGAAAAAGAGACCATTCAATGTTATTTTCATTTACTGGACTTTAGTTACCCTTATGTATGGCAATGGGGTAGTTTGGGGCGGGGATCTCATTCTTTATCCCAATTCTTGTTTAATTTTTTCATTCTCATAACTGTCCTAAAATTCGTTGAGTTTTTCAAAACATCCCCCATCGCCGTCCCTATTTACATAATCGGTTCCCCAAAACCGCCCACAGCCCTGTCGGGGTGGAGATTTTTGTCATTCCTACTCGCGGTTTTCTTTTTTTCACAAGACTTTAACACGAAACGAAATGAGGGCTAAGGCTTCCACCTATATGTGTGTGTGTGTGTATATATATATATATATAAACTTAAATATATTTTAGTAATATATCATAGTATGTAAAGATAATTTAATAAATTTATAATATATTCGGGACAGGACGGGACGACCCTCTCCCAAAACTGTCCCAAAATCCGTTGGGTTTTCCAAAGCAGCCCCATCCCCGTCACCATTTACAAAATTGGTTTCTCAAAATCGTCCCCAAGCGGAGCGGGGCAGGACCGGTCCAGCCGGGATGGGAATTTTTGCCCTCCCTAGTTACCCGGGCACTTGGAGTCACAAAGGGATTGGGCCAATAAGAGACTCCTCTTGGGTCGCTTGGGCCGTTACGATATTTCTTAGATATTTTTCATTGTAATCCCATACGGGCCCATTTTTTTTTTTTTTCAGGCTCTGGAATAAGCCCAAGTATACTTGTATATTCTTTTTATGTATTTATTCACATTCTCACTTATTTACCGGAGAAAAAAAAAAATCAGAATTGTCATACAAAATATTTTTTTTACATAAAGATGTGGTTGATAGTTCAGGTCAACTTTAAAATTTTAAATAATTTAGTTAATTAAAGAGAAGCAAAATCATACAGCCACGTATACAAACACAAAACGTATGGTCGGTACGTAACGTGATAGTTATGCTGCATCTCCACAAACAACTGATGACGACAACCGTATGTAACAATACACCACCCAAACAACACAAGAGTCATCTCCTGATTGGTCTGCAAAAGTCAAAACCCATCTAGTGGTAATGTGTTGATTGCTAATAAGTGGGACAATTATTTAATCTTTTTAGTCCCCAAGTCCATAATTAGAAAAGGTGCAAATCTTTATCGAATTGGATTGGACCAATTTGGAAAGTGTTAATCTATAAAAAAAATATCCTTAAAAAAAAAAGAGAAAATTTTGCTTTCTTGATGAAATTTCAATTATACCCCTTTTTACTTTCTAAAATAAATTATATTATTGCATAATTTTTTATAAGAATATTATAATAGTTGCTCTCTATCTACATATCACAAAATTTCACTATTTAGATTCTTATATTACTTTTATTTTTTTTTTAAATTAAATATTTATTAAATTTAAATTTATTTAGACCTGTTGTCATATTTAATAAGAAATGCACAATTTAAGTAAATCATAATATTTTCTATTTTTCTTGATATCCAAACTATGAAATAAGATTTTCTCATAATTTTTTGAAAAAATTTCATACTAACCAAAAGAATCCTAAAAACTTAATTTTTTTTTTTTTTTTTTGTTTTTTTTTCTTCACTCACTTTCTTTAGCATTGATTTTCATCGATCTAACCAAAATAACTAAAATAATAAGAACAAAGATACATACAATTTTGCTCCTTTCTAGGCAAAGTAAAGTGACCTAAGATTAAGATAAATATTGATCCGAATTTTGATTTTTTTCCCATTTATGTACCATAGATCACCGTGAAATATGAGTAAAAATAGATATTTTAGACGCAATTATAAAATAATTTATTGTATAAAATAATGATACATAACAATTTGAAATGCTTTGATGCTAATTTGTTTTAATATCATAAAAGGCTACATTTGGTATGCAGGAATGGAATGAAATGTAACTTGGAATGAAATGAAATGCAACTTGAAATGGAATGAGTATACTATTATAATGTTTGGTGTGACACGGTAAATCGTTATGTAATGGAATGATTATTACCATTCTATTGTTTGGTTGATTATCATTAAATATGGAATGGAATGAATCTCAAAAATATCATTTTCATTATTTTTTAATAAAATTAATCTAATTAATATTTTGCCAGTATAATTTTATCCAAAAACGGGTTGAATACTTAACCTAAGAAGCTGATGTAAAGGCTAAATAAATATAAATAAATATATATATATATATATATATATATTATTAAATATATATATATATATACATCAATCTCAATAATATATAATGTGTATATTATAATATATATTATATATTATGTATTATATATATATATATATATATATATATAATATGGTTGAAGGTTTGTAATTTTTTGTCAATGACAGTTCTGGGTATATTCAGAAGAGGGGGAAGGTGAAAGACCTTTACCACGTCTAATAAAGAAGCTCGAAAAACGCAAAAAATGGAATGTGAAAGATTTTTGGTCTATGCAAAATATTTTTGCCTTATTGGAATGTGATGAAGGGCTTATTGGGAATGTTAGAAAAATATTTAATCTTACTATAAAATGGAATGGTCATTCCATAGGTTTAGTAATGGAATAAAAATTCATTCCATTAGAATGGTCATTCCATTCCATTCCTGTACACCAAACAAACGAATGGTTGGAATGAGTATTCCATTCAATTCCATTCCTACACACCAAACGTATAAATGTCTATATTTCAGTGATATCTCTTTTTACTTTTTAAAATTATGCTCTATTTGGTAGGAATGAAGGAATATGCGTGGAGATAAAATAGGAATGAATGAACAAACTTTCTTTGTTCGGTAGAGACCGTACAGATGAAGCAAGGAAAGAAAGAAAAATAAGAAGATGGGTCATCCTTATTCATTTACAAATTTTCATTCTACCAACGATGGCCTAGCAATATCAAGTTCCTATTTTTCAAAGAGAAGTTAGGGATTCGAATTTCAGTGGAGGCATGTGTATGTGAATACTTAGGAAAAAAAAAAATTCATTACCAAAAAATGGGCGAAAGACAATTGGACTATTATACAAGTTTTAATTTAAATACTATATTAAATTATACAGATTTTAAATTACAGTATTATCCTTTATCAATTATAAATATTATTAGATATAATGATAAAAACAATTAAAACTTTCTCTCTTAACGAATATAGTAAATTATGAGTTTATTATTTTCTCTTCTATTTAATCAAGTAAAAAGAAATAAATACATAATCTTTTTCCTAAGGATATCTCATCTATCACTTTTTTTTTCCCTTCTATTTAATTTTTTCTTCCAATCGAACAGAGCAACATTGATACTTTAAATTTGTAAAATAATGTGAGGGTTGTAGTTATTTGTCAGGAAAAAAGAATGATATTTTGTAATGTTATAATAGAAAATAAACTGAAGAACAAGCAAGATATGAAAAGCAAAATCAATATCTAAGAAATTTTTAGGCTTGAATGGGGAGTATTATGATAGCATACTTCTTTTAGATAAATGGAACATACGTACATCTGGACAGGAATTATGTATGGAATGATTGGAATCCAAATGGCAAATTCTTGGAGAGGGACAGAACTGTTGATGAATGTGCTCTCTTCTTTAGTGCAATCCAGTCACATTTAATATATATATATATATATATCTATCTACTTTATTTGTCAGTTGTCACATTAATTATATATATTAATGGGACTAATGTGAAAAAATTTGCCGAAACTTTTAGGTGACGTATGGGATAAGGCAGGACTTTTTTCAAAACATTGCGAAAGTGCACGACTGCATGCCACTCAAAATACATAAGGCCCACTCTTCTTATCCAGTGATACGACAAAACTAACCTTCTGTGGTTATAACAAATGAACAACAAAAATATGTTCACGTGAGTGTATAAGTATGTTGCTTACTCTATAAAAAATTAAAAATAAAAAAAATTAAAAAAAAAAAGAAAAAGGGAAAAAAAATAAAAACAACAACAAAAAAAAACTCTCACAAGTCACAACACTTGTTAATCGCTCAATGAAAGTTGGATAAGTATGATAAGGGCAACTCATAAACATGTTTGGGAATGATTCTTTTAGTATGATATTTGAGAAGGGTAAAATTAAGATTCACTCATTAAAAAAATAAATAAATAAGACATAACACATAATTATATACATTCATATTATTTTCAGTGGCGGGATGTTGTTTTTTTAATTATGGTGTTTGTTGTCCAATTTATAATTCTAAATGTATTAGATAATTAGTAGTTTTGGAGGTTTTCACTAATTCGTTTTAGTTTCAGAAGTGACAAAAGAATGATTGAATTAGAAATTTTGAATATATTAACAATTTCTAATGTATTAAACATATGTTCTAGAAGTGAATGTTGGGTTGGTTATGTTGTGCATTTGAATTTTGAAATATGAATATTTTTGTAATAGAAAAAAAAAAAGAACCGTATAATCGAACCGAACTGAACTGGTGTTTTATAGCTTGGTTTGGTTCGATTTTTTTTGGTCGAATGATTCGATTTGATTCTAAATTTTTAAAAATGTTAGGAATGATTTAATTCAAAAAAATACTTTGATTCAAACCAAACCGTGTGCTTCCTGAGTTAACCATACCATTTCCTCTCTATTTTTTACTTTATTTTCTTACCAAAATCCAAATAAGTTTTTTTTTTTCTTTTTCTTTTTCTTTCTAACTATTTCAGAAACACACTTTTGTAACCATTAATTATTATTTTATCTTTTTTATTTTTGAAAGGTCAAACAAATTTTTATGGAATGGTTTTATAAACCACCATAATTGGTGTTATAAAAGGATTGCAATGAAAAAAAAAAAAAAAAGGCTTTGTATTCGACGTACTTTCTCTCTCTTCCTTGTTATCCAGTTGGCAAAGGGTCGGTTTGACTTGTTTTTTGTTGTAGGGCGGCTATACCTATATTAGTAAATTAAAGTCGGATCAAGCTAACACACATTAATACCATCTCTTTTTTGGGACAACTATATCCACTTATGTAGGAGTATTAATTTTGTACTTACAATCATGTCTTTATCACAATTTTCTTCCACATAAATAGAAACAACTAGAAAAAAACACTCATTTTGGAGATGAATTTAGTAATTTCGTGTGTACAAGGTGCATTGCAACATCTTGAAGATAAGACCAACAAAAACTTACCACCTCCCCTGAGTGTGATTTGATACTAAGTCAATCACGCGAGAATAATTTTTTTTTTTTTTTAAGAACTGCAAATAAATAAATAAAAAAATTTGAAAGAAAATTTTGTTTGATTAACGATTTTTAAAATTGTTTAATAAAAATTGAGTTAAAAAAAATTATATTTTCAGAAAATTGTTTTTAGAGAATTGAACCAAGTAAACTTTTAAATTTTTTTTGAAGAGAGAGTTTTAATTTTTACTTAATAAAAATAATTTGTAAATCTGATACTACTAGCTCATTTTCTAGAATACAGCTTTTGAAAAGATTAAAATTCTTTATTTTTCAATTTGAAACGAGACGTGATACTACTAAACTACGATGAATTTTTAAATATATTTACCAAATGTTTGCATTCAAAATTTTGTGTTCTTTACCTAATTTTAAAGAGACCAATCTCAAGCTCAACTCAATGCAATTTGACTCAAAAAGGTTCTATACATTTGCAACTTTATTTACATTATTAATTTAGCTTAACACAAGTAATATTGATGTTGTAATATGATTCGCAATATGAATTTAAATAAAATTAATATAAACTGATTAATATGAATTACATATCACACTTAAAAAAAAATCACATATCAGCCAATATGTTACTTGTTGAACGGCACAACGAACCATTTGATATTGGGCAATGTTTGGGGTTGATCATTGGTTGATAGTGATTCAAGAGCACTAGGGAGACGAGAGACAAGCGTCCAACCCTCATTGTCCTTGCCCACTGGTCAAGTGCCAAACAACACCCGAAATCCCAAAACACCCACTCGCAAACGCGTTAGGTGCGTACTACAATCCAGGCGTACTTTATGTAGCATCGCTGTCCGGATCTCTCACAAAAAGACAAACAACACCATCCCCAATCGTTCACTTCAACGTCGACGGTCCAGATGCTTCCATATAGCTAATTATGATTGGGCTGCACCTCACGTCAAACCTTCCTACCCCTCAATTATTGGTCCACGTCTCATCCCGTTGGGCCCACATTGGCATTATTTTATTGGCTACTCACTTCTTTAATCGGACCTCCACCCATTTATAGAAGTCTCTACAAAGTCGAGTCTCTCACAGAACCGACACTTGTCGCCAAGAAGAAGCTGCGCAGCCTGTAGTAGAGGAGCCAGAGATTAAAAAAATCAGGTAAAAAAACGTATCCCCTTCCCCCACTTTCTCTCTCTAGAAAATTATCTCTCTAGATTTTCTCGCTCCTTTAGCGCTAAATTGTTCTTGAAATTTCTTTCTCGGATACTTAATTAATTGTTTGGTTTGCGTACTGTCTTGTTCATCTTCATCCCTCTAATTTTTTGATCCTTATTTTCTCTTAAAAATATTCCTCATTGTAATTTCTAGTGTTTGTGTCTGTTTTTCTTTCTTAATTTTAATTTGATCCTTTTCTGTAGCGGTTAGTAGTTGGAGAAGCGTTAATTGAGGTTAGGGTTTTGAATTTGGTTTCATTATTATTGTTATATATATATATATATATATATATATGTTGTTTATGCACTCAAATTAATGAAGAATTTGAGGGTTATTATTTTTTTTTTAGTAATCTGTGAAGTTCAAATTTCAGTGTGATTGCTATCTGTTGATTCGATTTCTGAATCGAATTTATGTATATGAGGGAGAGGGAGATCGGAGACTCTGTTTGATCTAACTTGTGTGGGATTTGTATGAGACAGTGAGGTTGGATCAGCTTTGGGCACGGGTACAAACAAATCTTACAAAATGGGAACTAATATGAACTTCAAGAACTTTGGAAATGAGCCGCCGGGCGGTGGTGGTGGTGGAAGGCAACCGGGGAATTTCCCGTTGGCGCGACAGTCGTCGGTCTATTCGCTGACGTTTGATGAGTTCCAGAGCACGATGGGGGGAGTTGGGAAGGATTTTGGGTCTATGAACATGGATGAACTGTTAAAGAGCATTTGGAGTGCTGAGGAGACACAAATTATAGGGACTACCTGTGGTGCGCAAGAAGGGGTTGTTGCACCTGGTCCTGGTGGGTTTTTGCAGAAGCAGGGGTCTTTGACGTTGCCGAGGACGCTCAGCCAGAAGACGGTTGATCAAGTTTGGAGAGACATATCGAAAGATTATGGCGGTTGGAAGGATGGGAGTGTTGTCGGGGGATCGTCGAATTTGCCACAGACGCAGAGACAGCAGACTTTGGGAGAGATGACACTTGAGGAGTTCTTGGTGAGAGCTGGGGTTGTGAGGGAGGATGAGAAATCCAACAATACTGGATTTTTTGGAGATTTTTCGCGGCCTAATAATAATAATGCTCTTTTAGGAATTGGATTTCAGCAGACTGGTAGGAACACAGGATTGATGGGAAATAGGGTTCCTGAGAGTAATAATCAAACTGCCATTCAATCTGCTAATTTACCATTGAATGTGAATGGGGTTAGATCATCACAGCAGCAGCAGCAGCAGCAGCAACTTTTTCCCAAGAATGCTACACTGGCTTATGCTAATCCAATGTCTATGCCAAGTAGTGCTCAGCTGGTTAACCCAGGAATTAGGGGTGGCATTACTGGAATTGGAGATCAGTCGATGAATGGTAATTTGGTTCAAAATGCTGCGCTGCAGGGTGGAGGGATGGGGATGGTTGGTCTAGGAGCTGGTGCTGTTACTGTTGCAACAGGATCACCTGCACTTTCTTCTGATGGGCTTGGGAAGAGTAATGGAGATACATCCTCTGTGTCACCAGCTCCTTATGTGTTTAATGGAGGTTTACGAGGAAGAAAATATGGTGGGGCTGTGGAGAAGGTTGTTGAGAGGAGGCAGAGGAGAATGATAAAGAACAGAGAATCAGCTGCAAGGTCGCGGGCTCGTAAGCAGGTACATGTTTTGATATATTCATTAAACTGACCTTTTCATGCATCTTCTTATTTTGAAATCAGCATACTGCTTATGCATAATTGGAAATACTTGCTCGTTGAAATGAACACTTTTGGACTAGCATACATCTAATTCTCCAAAATTAAATCAATGAATGAAATGATTAGTTAATGATGTCATCCGATCAACCTAAGAACGTACTTGGTTATGAAACTTATTATAGTTGTACTAAGTAAAATTTGTCTTAATCTCTCCAGTGAGCTAAGGTTCTGCATCTCTAGCAGAATAAATTGTACAATTTGTCCTTTGGACACTTGATGTCTGTTTCCCACATATTTACTGCAATATTTGCTCTCTGTATCTAGACTATCTATTATGGGAAGTTCCAGAGTGGACTGTCTTCTAAATTTAAAACAACTTTTTTTTCTTCTTTTTTTGAAAAAGAAAAAAAAAAAAAAAATCGAGAGAAAAATGGCAGAAGAGATCTTATAAGTTTGAACTTCACGTTTAGAGAGATCACAGAGAAATTAAAGATGTTCACTGTTTTTCAAATGGTATTTGAAATATAAAATCCATAATTCCAGATGGAATAACTAAACAAATCAGATCCATCAGCACCTCATAATATTGGATCACTTTTAGTATGTTCTGAAATGATGCTAATTTTATAGCCACTTTTGTTCCCCTACTGATGGTAGGTGCCATTCTTCGTATTGGCCTCACTAACAAAATTGTTTTAGTACCTTCAAATCTTATATTCATATGTGTGAGCATTCCCGTCTATGTCGTGGTTAGCGTCAACTTTTACAGAGCAGGTCCCAAGCCTAGAGGGGAAACGTTTTGGTGGATAGACAGTCAACGTGAAACTTATAGTCATATTTCATAAACATATGCGGCACATAAAACATTATGAAGCCATTTAACCTCCTTGGGATACTGTAGTGTGCCTTAAATAATTCGAGTGCAAAACTTGTGCCTGTGCTTATGATGCATTTTCAATGCCAAAAAGTGCAAGAGTTTCAGGTTCGTGACAGCAGTCTTTAATTATGGAACAATCCCCATTTCAAGATTGTTTCATGACTTTGTGGCAGGGAGTGTAAGAACACACAATTTGATTCCAATAATACGGAGAGAATGAATGACAAATTTCATCTTCTTTTGGTTTATAAATTTTATTAACTTTTTGCTTCTATCATCTTTGGAGTTTAGACATGGTTCATTGCAAAACTTCATGAAATATTGGATATATTATGTGGCAGACTGTAATGTGATAGCAATCTGATACAAGAGATGAAAGATTGTGAGAGGATATGCTTCATGAGAAGTTATAAGTTACTCAGTAATTACAAGGTAATCAAATATATGCTTTGCAGAACATAATACGAAATTGAATTCGTACCACCTAGATCAATATAAAAATCAAATAAGTAGACTTTGTGAGCTCAGTATGGGGGGCCTAGAATCGACACCTGTATTTTTGAAACATTATGTATGAACCTGTTGGAGTATAATTATACGAGTGATTTTATACTCCAACAGAACCATCCACTTGTTTCAAATTATGGGTTTAACTATTGTCCTAAATATATCTTTTGGATGTTTGCCAGGCCTATACTATGGAATTGGAAACAGAAGTTGCAAAATTAAAAGAGGAAAATCAAGAATTGCAGAAAAAACAGGTATGTTTCAATATGGTTTATGTTTTGTGTTGGTGGATATGTTTGTTATGTGTGTAGTTGCCTAACATATGAAGTTTTTGGCTTTGGTAAATCCCTTATTGACTGTACTTTGATTGCTGCAGGCGGAGATAATGGAAATGCAGAAAAATCAGGTATTGTAGATTTTGTCATTCTACATGACAAATTTAAATATGCCGCTTAAAATTATCAAATTATATATACGGCCATGACTGATGTCCATGGCTAATTCATGTCTTTACTTGCTGCCTTGATCTACACTTTTTCAGTCTTTCTCTGGTTACTGTAGCACTTCTAACTTGATTAAATATCTACTCCTTACTAGTCTTCCTTTTTAATGAATAACCATCTCATACAATCTTATCCGGACTTGTCCTAAATTATTGCAATCATTAGTTTATTTGAAATGAATTCTTGTCATTATTAATCATCTCTCTCAATACTGTTTTTTCAGTTATGCTCATTTTATGCAGCACTTGTTTCTTTATTGCATATACTTCTATATCATAAAAAAATGGCAAGTTTCTATGTATTATTAATTTTCTCCCATATGGTCAACAATATTCGACATTCTCAAATCCTATTAATGCGTTTTTCCTTTTCATCACCCTACTCTAGTTATATGCATAATGCACTTCTCTATCTCTACTAGTTTTGAATGATCAATTAGATATAGCAAAATGGTCAATTCTTTAGTTCCTTATCCCCTCAATTTTACTTCTAGTATTGCTCAAGTTAGGAGTTTTCAGTTGGTACTATGGAATGGGAAAAAGAAAACTTATAAGCGGGAAGTTGCGAGTTTGAATCTGAGATTAGCCAGTGTGTGTAAATAATATCAAAGGTCAGCTATGTCACCCTCCTAACACCTCACATAGACTGGACATTCACATGGTAATTTATTCTTGCTCAAGTTGCTGTATTTATTTTTGTTTCAGCCCTGCTGATCCTGAAACCTTCAAATTCTAAAGCATCCCTTGGTTATTGTAACTTAGAATCTACCTTTGTTTTGGTTTCGCTCATGGAGGTATTGAGAGGAGAGGGGCCATCTGTAGAGGAGTGTGGTCGGTGCCAAGTATAAATCTGCTTGGAGTTGGTCTTCTAATACAGTAACCTTGTTACTTGCAATTAGGGTTTGGAAGAGCATCATGAAAGGATAGGGGCCTTTGACTCCTCATATTTCCTTTGCAGTGGGGAATTGCGAAAGGGTAATATTTTGGCCTGACTTTTGGATCTGGAAAAAATTTCTCAGTTGGAGCTTCTGAGGTCTTTGTAACTTGGCAATTGATAGAGAGTCTTGGTTGGGGATAATATCACTCTTTGTGATGGTCAATTTAACTTACTGAACACCCTTGAATGTTGCTTTATTTATGTGGTAGCCAATGAATGAAGCAATTTTTACCATTGATGACCTTTTGAAAAGGAAACAAAAGCCTGCAAAATGGTTGCTTTATGCACAAATGTCAGCAAAACATCAGTCGTTTCTTCATTGCAACTTTTTTAGGGGCATTTGGTGTTTTCCTAATTTGGAGTGGCCCGGTGATGTCAGGATCTTGTAGGAGCTTGCTGAAGGGGTCTTGTACCCTCTTTCTTAGGAATGCACGGGACTGGCTCCTCCATGTGTTATTTGTAACATCTAGAGGAAGATGAATGGTGAGTCTTTTGAAGGGATGGAATGTACCTTCATAGATTAAACCATTTGTTTTTGTGTTCTCTTGTTGATCTGGTCGATCGAGGCATTTATTATGCTCATGTACCTCTTGTGTACATGGGATGCATCCTGCTGGTTCTTTTATTCGGAACAATTTAGATATCATATTTGGATATCCAAACTTCAGAAACCTAGAATGTCTGAAAATTTTCATTTTTGTGATGGTATACATTTCGGTCCACTATTACAAGATAGGCATAACACTATAATAGAGATGAAGGGTGATACGATGATTGTCAGGATGTCTAAATTTTTATATCAATCTGATTGTACCATGACCCTTGAAGAAACAAAAAGATTCCACAACACATCATTAGCATGTGGCTTTGGGTTTTGATTCTTTTTGAAAGGTCCAATGGAGATGGATTCTTAATTCGTTACTGCTTTTAATTTCGATCGTTAAAGGTTACTTTCATCCCAACACAGCTACACACGTGCATCTCTCTCTCTCTCTCTCTCTCTTTCTAGAATATAATAAGTTAATTATGCTTGCAATTTCAATGGAATTTCATAGAGTATGGTAATTTCAATGGAATTTGTTGGATAGGTCCTGGAGATGATGAACCTGCAGAAAGGAGTGAAGAGACGATGCTTGAGACGAACACAGACTGGTCCATGGTGAAGGGTGTGATCATGGTTTGATGGTTAAATTATTTATATGGATGGTTGGTGGCTGTACATATTTAAGGAAAGCACATGTTTTGTGTTGTAGATCAAAACCACTGAGAGCTGTATTTTGTCATAGATTAGTACATCAAGTTTATCCGTACTCTTTTTGCTTTCTTTGTGCACATCATGAACATGTAGAGAGAATTACAGAAAGGAAGCAAAATATGTGGTCCAATAGCTTGCTTTGAAAGCAAAACATATTTGACATATGTTTGAAAACACATCAAGTTCCCTAACATGCGAATCAAAGAACTTTGTCTGGCTTCATTTCACTTGCTGTGTCTTAACAACGTGGGAAATTCGTATTTGCTATCCGTAACGTTCTATGATGATTGGTCTTCTGAATGGGTACAAATGTTGATCTGACTGACCTCGTGATATATATTGTGAAACAGATTTGTGGTGTTCAATTAAACTACTGTCCAAGTCGCACTGTTGGCAAATTGAAGAAATTTGTTTTGATTTTTTTTGGTTGTTGGAAATGATGGTTTTTGTAATGACAGCTACAATCATTAATAATGTTTTTGGAGTGTTGTTTGACATTTCTGCCGATAAGGTTGCTGGCTCTCCAGGGCTTCAAAGGGTACGTTCATCCTTCAACGACTGATAGTTGCATTTATATTTAATTTGTGCATGTATTACAATAATTCTGTTCAAGAAAACGACATAATCCAAGTCATATAGAGTGAGAATAAAAGTCATAGAGCGTGAAAATGAGAGCTGATTCAAGACACAAGTGCATTTAACAAGATTTCGCATAGATATGATACCTAATTTTAACAAATAATTTAATAATTGAACCGGATCGATTTACCCCAACGGTTTTACAAAATTGAAGATAACTAGCAAACGAAGGCAGTTGTGGTAAGGAGTTGCATAACGACATCAACATGGCGATGGTAACAGGATTGTTTAGAGTAACTGTCTATATTATTGTACCTGCACTATTTAAGAATTCATTGTTTCAGGCCATGCACAAGTCCATGAAAAGTCGACTCTGTTCGGATTAGTCCATAGCCATAGCCTAAGTGTTGGTAACACATTTAGTCCATAGCCTAAGTGTTAGTAACACAGTAACGACAACAATTTACCAATAGAGCCATAATTTGTCTTACCTTCTTGTTTGACAATCACTGCAATGGCGTGATGAACCATTTCTTAAGACTACTCCGCAGTCATGTCCTGATTATTAATTGCAACAATTGCATTGACACAAACATGGAGTAGCATAGAAAAGAGAGTATTACACAATTACAGTACTTCACTCAGATAAGGTTCAGTTTTCCATTCTTAAAAAAACTGACTCATTTCAAAGCATGTAGATAAATGTGACTGCATCTGGAGCAGATACTTCAAGCATGTATATCGATGAACACGACCTACATAAATTGTAAATTTTAAATCGACAATCGTTCTTACCCAATGTCTAATGAGGTTATCTCGAGTTTGGAGCAACCTAATGTTATTGTCACATTGACAAGAGAACGATCAGTAATGACTACTAACTTGCCAGAGAAGGTAGCAGCGGTGGATATAACTCTAATAAGGATAACCTGGAGAGCAACCAAAGTCCTTCCAGGAGATCATCTTCCTTCGATCCCTTCCTCTGAAAGATCTGGCAATAATCCTACCACTAACAGGTTTGCACAAACCAACGTCAATGACAGAAGTGTTCTTTCTCTTTTCAGAAGACGGGTTGACTCCATCCAGGTAAAAGTCAAACAGCATTGCAAGATAACACACTTGGTGACCCAGGATAAAGTTCTCTTCATCCCGAGGAATCATCCTTAATATATGAATATTGACCTACAACACACAGGTGCGCATGTCAATTCAGAGCACAAATTCAAGAGAAAAATAAAATAGAAAGATGGTTCTTGAAAATTGCAAACAAGGAGAAGTTATTAGACAGCCACATGTAACTTGTTTCTCCTCACAAAATGCTGTGGAGAGGAAGATGGGTAAGGAGTTCAAGCACCATTTGTTCTTTTCCAGATAATAAATGGAAATAAGGTGATTAGAAATTCATTGTGTAAAGTGGGATATATATTATGATGCGAATTTTATGCAGGCCCATCCTGATGAAACTCGGACAAATTTAAAGTAAAACCTTGATTTACTGGTTTTGCTGCCAACAAATATATACGTAAATGTAAAACACAAAGTGTTCAATTGCTTACCTCTGCTTCCATGGCACGAAGTTCATTGAACCACTCGGAATCATCAGAGTCAGAATGATTTTCTCCGGCCTGAGTGTAAAGATTTATTTCAAAATGAGGAGGCCTGAGAGGGTACTCCATGCTGATCTTAATCTGCCGTAGTAGATGTTCAAGCAAAGCACCAAAAGGTCAACAATCACACATACAATAGAGTAGAAAATACAAATGAAAGCAATACCAAAAATTTACAAATTCATCTACCTTGGCTTCTAACTTCTTTGACCTCCTGTTATTATCCCCCGTCCTGGCTAAAACAAGACAATATTCCTGAATGCCATAATCGGCCCATGACTTTTCAACCATCTCTGAGCACCCAAATCTAACTCCATTTTCCGTCCCTGGTTCAATTTGTGCTTGCTCTTCCATATCACTTTCAAAATCCAGCATGGGATCTGAATCCTCTTCAGGTTTCCTAAAGCTTAGTGATTTAGCCTTGTTGATAGGAGTCTTAGGAGATGCCATACTCTTTGGTATTAAAGCCAGACGTCTTGAATGGTCAAGATCAGGTCCCTTCGAGGAACTGAGTTTAACACTGTTTCCAACAGCTGCAACCGAAATTAAAGATGGAAGTTCCCCATCTTCCCTTGCATTCTCAACGTCTTCCTTTGAAGTACCAGATATTACATCCACATTAATGTCTGAAGGTTCCTGTACTTGTTCCATTTCAACAACTGGCAATGATGAAGCCTGATTAGGTGAGAGCCCTATAGGTGACCATTTATGCAAACTGCATAGAGGGTTATGTAAGGCCCATGGAACCTTTTTACAAGTCAGAGCAGGCCATTTAAGGTCCATCAGCAAATCAAGCTGTTCCCTGTAAACCAACCAAAGAGTTCCAAGTTCTCAACATGAACCATGCGTTACCACACAGATAAACAAAAACTAGGAGAGCCCAGCTAAAAGATGAGTTTCATGAACAAAAAGAACACAAACAGGCGCACATAAATGTCACATAAAGCAGAGCACATTAAAATTCCAAAAGTAAGCGCAGCATGATCCATCTATATATAAATTTCATTAGAGGTTCCAGCCAATTGAAACAAAACCGTAGAAACCAATACTCTGTTTGACTACATTGTGGGATTTTCCCCATATGGGCTTTCTATTCTTAAAGATCCATGACTCCAAACATATAGAGCAGTGACTCACGCAAGTGCCTTCTGGGCCTTTTTCCGAGAACGAATCCTTTGCACAACTGTCTGTACCCGATTCTGCTGGCGATATAGTGACAGACCAGAGATAACCCCAGCATGTTTACCTGTTTCATTGTCAGTAGTTTCGCAGCCTGTAAGTAATGGAGACACCTCTGGCAGAAAGTCGATTCCTGCCAAATGCTGTGCCCACTTATATGGTCGTGAAGTTCTTTTTTCATCAAATATGAGCGCATCGCCAATGCAGAGCTTTGCTGGCTGCACATCATTCAGGAAACATTATAATAGTATATGTAAACTGGCAAATTAAACCAAAAAAAAAAAAAGAAGACAGGTTTATTATTCATGCATGAAGATCACCTAAAAAATGTAAATAAGCATCCATACCTGGTGAGGAAGCTCAAGGCCAGTGTCATCAGGAAATAAGTTGCACAGGATGTTATTCTCAGGTCCTTCATGTGATCCTTCAATCCCAACGCATACAACATTCAACTTCAACAAGTATTCAAACTTCAGTGTGATCAGTTTTGCAGACTTAGGCTCAGAAGCCTCGTCATCAGATACGTGGAGAATGATTTTAAGTGGATGAGTTTGGTATATTCTAGCCTGGTCAAGATTCTCCTTTCCTGTAACCTTCTTCGGCCGCTTCCTCCTTCTCTGGCCATCATCTTCGTCATCAGGTGCATCATCCTCCAACTTGGTACTCTCTAGATTGCTAGAAATGCCTGGTCCATTAAAGCACATTATTATTTCCCTTTCTTTCCTGTTAGATTTCTTCTCATGACTACGGTCACTGTCCAAATAAGGGACCATTGGACGGACATGAAACTATATTATACACTTGAGCAGCCAACTCAAACAAATACAATTTAAAGTACCAAATTCCCAAGATGGCAAAATAAAAATTGGACCTGCCACCCGGTCACAATAAAATGGATTGGATTCAGTTCAGGCTCTAGAGGATGACCAACTCAACAAACCAAATCATTCTTCTAAATGTTATAAATTTTCTGATTCTGAAAAATATTTTTTCTTTTATCATGCTGTTACATAACTGTGTTGATGTCTCTGGAATGGAGTTTGGCTCCAAGTTGATGGTTCAATAACCAGTATATGGCCCAATCAAGAGTCTCAAACCAAACCTATTGCTTGCTATGCTCGACTGACTGTCCAGTAAGTAATGAAAGACCCATAAAAACAAAATCATTTTAAGTTATTAATAATCGTATAAAGTTAAGAAGATGCATATTACTATCAATACGAGTTAAAGATACCAAGAACGTAACACATCAGTACAGGTATACCTCCATGCATAATTTCAAGAAAACAAGCTTGCAAGACCAAATTATGCAATCAACCAAGGCCCTCAAGCTGTCAAACATTCAGAGATTGATAGTTGCAAGAATAAGATACAAAGCATAGGTTACACTCAATTACCAGTGTCCTTATTTGCTTGCTGGCGGGCAAAGGATTGAGCATCCTTCACACTTCCCACAATCTCCAGATCAATATGTTCTCCAAATGCTTCCTTTTGGGCCAAGAACTGTGAGTAAATCACATAGAGAGGAGGTGGAAGCAGCTCAGCAGAGTGCTGCTGCTTTAGTTTCTTTGTATGCAGAACCCCTAGTTGGTGCTGCACCGGCAATGATGCTTTCTTAAGAGATTTGAGGTGTGAAGGCAGACTTGACAAGAACTTCTTCCTGTTAGCAATGGTCTCCAAAAGGCTTTTCTTTTGCAGATCCAGCTTCTCACGAAGTTTGCACAATTCCTTGCGCTGATACAGTAAAGTACTTTTAGGCGTATATAAAATGATACTAACAATAATAATAAAAAAACAATATAGCTTTATTGTGACAGATACCACTCATTAAAGAGGAGGAGAAGAAACCCAAGCCACATTATAAGATAAGCATATGAATTGCATCATACACAACCCCAAGGGGTTGGCCTAGTTGGAAAAGACTTGGGCCCAGGTGCCTCATGAAGTATGAGGTCTTAGGATCGATTCCTGCTAGGTGCAAAAAATTCCTTGGAGGAGGGGTGTGTGAGTACCAACAAGGGAAAAAAATAAAAAATTGCATCATACACATATATTTGGTAACATCCACATAGAACAAATATGATGCTCCAAGTTCCAAAATCGTAAGAAATCTGAGTAAATTCAGAACATCTAGCTTGTTGTGTTTGCTGTGGATAAGTCCGTGCATTCATCTGTGTGGGCAATATTTTAAAGAAATAGAAATGAGAAGTGAGGATATCATGATTGCTAGATGGACACTTCCACTTTCATAAAGGCTTCTCATTTCTTATCCATGCTTCTCCTGTAATGGGACTCTGTTGTTTTCACATGAAAATCAAACAAAATAAAATAAAACAAACACGTTCACAAGCACACACAGAGCATCCTTTTGGATCTATCTTTCCACCATAGCAGTGAGCCCAGAATAATACCTCCTTTAGGATAATTTCTTCCACCACATGGACCAGGACCACTGCATCATATGATCACATCCCTAGAAGTCATTCCAAACTACCCAACAATAGAAAGAAATGACATCAACTTCCTCCTAGAAAAACCCTCCATTCTCCACTTAATAAAAAAATCCCAGACCTAAAGTGGCATCAAGCATGCCAAACCATAAAAGAAATCTTCCTCAAAACTAATTTGTTAAGGAGGCAATATAAGAACAGATGGTTAACTATTATTGCATTGGTATTATACAAAAATGCTCCCTACATCCCAATTTAATAATCTCATGATGATTGCATCTTTCCACAAATATACAAGTTTTGAAAAATATTTCAACTTGGCAATATTTATATTTAAACTTCAAAAGGGTAACTTGGAAATTTCAAAAGGAAACAATGATTAAATGCATGTCCTTTTGAGGAAATCCCCAAAAGGGGGACAATTAAATTGAGTCAGAGGGGAGTACCTATTTCGGACAATCAAATTTTGCAAACCAAATGATCAATTGTGAGAATGATATTCAAGCTCACAATCTGAATGAAAACATATAGTGGAAGGCACGGTGAAACTTAAACTGGCAATTGATGTGTATTATATATATATATATATATATATATATATATATATATATTATAAACTGACACTAAGCAAAATGCCAAAATGTTTATTCAAATTATTAGTATCTGAAAGAACAATGATATCACATGTAAAATCTGTGAACACAAGATGATGATCAGTCACACAAAAAATGGATCTACTATAGTCTATACCTTTTTAATGTGACAGAAGTGTCATTGAGTGCTTTTTCTGCATCCTCATAATTTTAAAAATCTTATATTTCATCATTTGAATCTTATGATATTTTGATTCATTGGCTCCTCTTCAAAGACCAAACCTGATACTGTAAGGAATCTTACTATAACTTATTATTCATAAATCCTACATGTTCTCACATCTTCCATTTGAAAGTTGACGAAAATGGCAACAGAGAGAATGACAAACAATAATAGCATAAAAGATATCAAGTCAACAACCTCTGACTGATGGAATATGGCACCATGAGTAGTGATCTTACTTCATGTGCACATTTTCTATTACAATGTATTTAAGTACATAAAAAGGAAAACAAAAACCCTTGATATCACAATTTCTTTTGATAAACCAATGATTTTCCTGAAAATTGTGGCCGACTAGCTATAGTTTAACCATCAACTAGATTATTAAATCATCAAGAAGAAAAAATTTCCAAAATATTCAAGGCTTTTTTTAACATATGGTTTTTATTACCTGGAACAGCTCAAAATTAAGCCTCTTGAGCATCAAATTGTGTGCCCCATCATTTGATATTACACAGTTCTTTATCTCCTCTGGTGCATCTCTAAAGAATTCTTCCTCAGGCACAAGTTCAATATCTGGATATTTTGACTTGAAGTCTTTGCATGCCTTTATTGCTTTCACATAGTGATTTTTCTCATACATCAAGTTGTGGAGCTGCAAGGTTGTGAAATCTACGGGTGCTTTTGCATTTTCAGTTTCTGCCTTTACATGATCTTCTTCAAGCAAGATGGAACGATTTGCCTGTAAGACAACATTTTAAGCCACCTGAGCTTGTAAGCTAGAACTAGATGTTGGACTTAAGATTCACCCGGGTCATAAATTTTAGCACAAAAAATAAATGTGATACTAGATGGAAAAAGAAAAAGGTAAAAGGTAAAAGGTAAAAGTTAAGAGACATCAGGAGTTCCAATTCAAAGCATTTATCTAAAATCTGACCATCTTGGAAGAAGATGAGAAACAACAGTCTATGGAGAGAGAGGGTGAGACTAGTGGAAAAATAACTGGGGCCAACAAGAAGTATGGACAAATAAATCTGAAGCATAGGTGGATGTGATTTAATTATTTTTTTTAAAAATGCATCTTTTAGATGATCCAATTTGTAAGAAATACAACAAAAAAGGAATTAATTAACCCAACTCATCTGCATTCACTTTTTTTGCAATATTCTTTTGCAAGAATCAGCAGCTTTGATAAAATGGCAAAAGCCCGGTCTACAAGGACTGAAAATGGATGTTCTGAGTCTAAGAGTAGCAACGCTATGCAAAGTAATGCCAAAAGGTTAACTTTGTATGTAGTCTGCCCCTCCCAAGCCCGACAACTCCACAAAGGTGAAACTAGCATTATTAACGACCCTTTTTTTTTTTTTTTTTTTCTTTCCAACAAGTGTATGTCGGATTGCTTTAAAACAAATGTGTCAAACCCGATTACAAACAGAAATGCAGGGGAAAAAACTTATACAAAGGATGGTTAGATAAATATCCAATAAGCATGCTTACACAAGAAATCCCGATTATACCTTTCAAAAAAAAAAGAAAAAAGAAATCCCAATTATGTAGTTGAAAAACTACTTTCACAATTAAACCATGATAATGATATCCTTACTAAAAAGGCCAATCAGAAGTTAATTCTTTATAAAAACACCACTACTTTCTCATTAGGAATGCCCTGTGGCTTGTCCTTGCTTCTGTAATCACATGTTGTATGTTGTATGTTTTCTTTATTACCATGAACATATTTTTTTGAACCTTACTTTCTTTTCTTTCTGCAAGGAAATCTTACTTTATTGCAAGGAACAGAAAATTATAAAATTGAGAGAACTAAAAATGAGGTGAAAATCTACCCACCAAAAATAATAAAAGATGGATTTACATCAAATAAAGAACAAAAGAACAAGACTAAAGAAAATTGTGAGGTAGACCACTACGATTTCAGCAGCCAAGTCGACCTGAATGGATAAACAAGTAGGAATCTAGCCTAGGCAACAATGTTCCAACCAAAAACTAAATTTAAAGCAACGGGTTATCGCTGCCCCAGAAATCCATCTCTTCAATGTCTGATCTTTGTTAACAAAAAGAATCTGTGTCCTACAAATCATGACCAACTAAATTTCTCCCCCATATAGTTGCATGCTTATATGCGTGCAATCATATATATGAATTCACATATACCAATACCCCAAGAAATATATTCATGTCCAGGCGTATGTATTGCAAATGGGTGTGAGTAGTGTAACTATATGTAGAAATTTCCATAGCCCACAATTCACATGATTAATTTTCTTTCCATAGAACTTCGATCCCTCTTCCCTCCATAGAGTTTATTTACCACTTCAATTTAAAAATTCCAAGCTTTTCCTTCAACCATTTTAACATTTTCATCACTATCATGATTATAATCCAATATTTTCATTCATTAAGTAAATTCACTACACGCAATGAATTTCAACAAAAAAAGCCCTAAATTTGTCACCCTAAAATTGTTCAAATACATACATATGCATATATATATATATATATATAGCCCTAGGGCTTTGTGAGTGAGGGGACCTGGCGAAGAGTGACGAAATTGAGGAACATCCGAGTGACGACTTCTGCGAGTTCCGATTTGGGTTTGGCTTCTTTCTTTAAAGAGAGCATCTTGGAGACGATGTCCTCCACAGAGGTCCTGCTCTGTTGCATCTTATCGTACGCCGACTTCTCTATCTTGGGCGATGGTAATATTGCACCTTCTTCTGGTTCTTCCATTGTCACCTCCATGTGTAATTCTAGCCCCCTTCACTCTTTTTTTTTTTTTTTTTTCCGGAAGATAGCCCCCTTCACTCTTTGCCTCTGCTCACAGCTGATGTTCAGTTCTGCTTTTCTTTTCTCTGCGTTCTAAGGGCTTCTCTGTGTAGTTGTTGACACAATAGTGTCGAAAAACGAAAAATTACTAAATAAACAATGATTTTCAATATGAAGTAGAAGGGCAAAACATGGGTCCTAAATATTAGGGTGGGGTAAAAAAAATAAAAATAAAAATATTAGATTATATTATATTAGTTTGTATTTTCTTTCATCAAGTTGTAGATAAAAAATAAAAATAAGTGTCACATACTCTTGCCTTCATGTGCCACCGGTGTGAGAAAAATACAATAAAAAAATGTTAAGCATTCTCACGGTATATTGTTTTTCTGGAGACTCTCTCTCTCTCTCTCTCTCTTTTGTTTGGTTGAGAGAAAAGAAATAGATGGATATACTACCTTTTTATTGTTAGGTAAATTATACTTACTTTTATTGAGGTCTGGCAATATTCACTTAGATCTTCTTTGTTTCATAATTCGATTTACTTGTATTAGTATTGGTTGTCCAACTTAATAACATTAGTGTGTCATTTTACGGTTTTGTTCATAAAATATTTGTCGAGCAAAATTGACCTTTTATTCATTTTTGTTGTTGACATTAGTAAATTTTATTTTTCTCTATTAGGTGCCTAACGACAAAGGGAATTTTTTTACATAAAGTAGAACCTTAGGTGATATAAGTGGAACTAAAAAACACAGAGGGATTCCATATTTGATATTGACAAATCTCAGTAGAGATAAGTGGATTTAAGTGTTTATTATTTAATCTTGTGGAAAGGGGAAGGAAGGAAAGGAAGAGTTTTATACTTTTTTATTTTTATTTTTCTTTTCTTTTATTATAATTATTATTTTACCACTATACCTCCATTATATAATTTACAAATAATAATGAAAGATAATATTTTATACCTATCCTTCTTCCATCCAAATTTGGAGCAAATAATAAAAATTAAGTATTGAAAGGTAATGTTAAGTTGTGCTTGCAATCCGCCTTTTTTTGGTATATCACACTTGGAATGGACGCAATTTGGTTCTCCACCAAACTTTGGAAGCAATTAGATCCAAACCGTTGGTACCTTCAATCTCAAACGCCATCAGCAGAATGGTTTATAGCTGAATTACATCTCCGACCACCGGATGTTCACATTTAATTCTGCACTTGAGTTTGCAGTTGTTGGAGAATTCTCCATGTTTACCGGAATTGGTTGACCAGTAACGGTCTTGTTCTCTATGCTGAATTGTATCTTTGGGCTAGTGGGCCTGCTTATATGTTTGAGCTGTATCTTGGTTAGCATTGGGCTAACTTTGTGGGCTGACTTTCATTCTATATATATATGAGTTGATCTTTTTCCTTCAAAAAAAAAAAAAAAAAAAAATCCGCACCACTCTAAATTAAAAACAACATAACTTGAATTTGATGCCATTTGAGTGGTGATTGAAAACAATGAACCAATTGTTGAAAAGGTACAATAAAGATTGTAAGTAGAAGTAATTAGAAACATGTTATTGATGGATAATTATCCGATAAGAGGTAAACCATTAGTAGAACCAAATGGGCAATAACTATAAACTTGGCTCCAAAGGAAAGGTAAGGAGTTTGAGGCACAGTAGAATCATATGTGTGTGAGTTTGCTTTACCATTAAAAACACACACACACAGATCATTTGAACTTATTCATGTTTAAGACCTTGTTGCTGAATTAGGCCTTGGCTAGAAAGTAATGAATGTAAGGAGCCCAATCTAGTGACATTAACATAATCTTCAGGCCCATGAGCCGATAATCCTGGAACTGCCAACCCAAACACCCTAACAAATCTCAAAAACCAGCCTTCCTTGTAGTCTGAACCCTTGATGTATGGGATAATGAAACTCCTAATCAGCTCCCAAACAGCGTTTAAGATCTTGGGTATTGCCCACAGCACTGAGAAGTAGTTCTTATTTGGTTCCTCCCAAACAACCTGGATTATCATTGAGTTAGTCACTGGTGAAATTGTATAACTAAAATTGTCAATGATTTGATCAATCATGGAGCCAAAAAACAGTTTAGATCGGTGAAAAATTAAAAATTTAGGCTGATTAATGATGTAAATGCAGAGTATTGGTCCTATTCAGGTCATTTTGAACCAATCTAGATTTTATCTAGTTGATCTTTTACTCCCAAAGAAGTATATAGTAGTAGTATATGTTAAATAGACCGATATGACTAGTCGCGTGTCTTACAAAGCATAGATTCACACCATACTATTTGTTGTAAATTCCATTATTGTGTGAGCCACCCAACATCGGTTGTCAATTTTATTATTTTCACCCCAATTTGACAATCATATTTGTCCACTATGTTATTAACATCTTCATTCATTCAGCCACAGCACACACAAAAACACATAGTTAGACAAAATCCAGAAGTGGAGGGGGAGAGAGAAGAACTCACCTTGCCTTTGTAGCAGCTGTTGTAGTAGATACAAGTCCCAAAGTGCTTAAACAAGGGAGTTCTACCATCATATGGCAATCTAGGCACTATGTTAAATTAGCAAAAGCATGAGAGTATGTTTGGTATCTAGTTGATCTTTTAGTCCCAAAGAAGTAATAGTAATAATATATGTTAAAGAGCTGTGCTATTGTAATTGATACTCGACTAGTCGCGTGTTTCATAAATAGACTTGTCAACGAATTGGATCGATCAAATCCATATATAATTTGTTAAGCTAACGGATTATCGGATTCGTATCGCTAACGGGTTATCGAATTGAATATTCCAATCCATCTCCTATTTAGCATTCAAATTCGGATTAAAATCATACCCACCGACATTTACAATTATAAGGTTAAATAGAGTAGAGAATAGTTAATATGTGGGATGTTGAATAATATAACTATGTAACCACATTAATATAGTAGTAAATAATTAATATATATAAATTTAATAGTAGATAACTAATACACACACACACACATAACATTCATATATAGTATATTACACACACACACACACATATATAACATTCATATATAGTATATTACACACACACACATATATATAACATTCATATATAGTATATTATAATGTAATAACAAATATATATATATATATATAATTTTAGTTACCTATAATTTATATCTGATTTATTAAGGTAACAGAAAATCGGATTCGGATCATTATGGGATTTTTTTTCTCAATCCATATCTGGATAATCGGTTGGATCGAAATTCGGATCAAAATTCGATCCATTGACAGGTCTACTCACAAATCATGGGTTCACAACATAGTTGAAACTCGGGTGCCGTTAATTTTATTATTTTCACCCCAATTTGACAATCATATATATTTGTCCACTATGTTATTAACGTACATCTTTGTTAATTCACCCACAAGCACACATAAAAACACATAGTTAGACAAATCCAAACGTGGAGAGAGAGAAGTCACTCACCTTGCCTTTGTAGCAGCTGTTGTAGTAGAGACAGGTCCCAAAGTGCTTAAACAAGAGAGTTCTACCCTCATATGGCAATCTAGGCACTATGTCATTACAATAAACAAACCTAATATATCTCACATCATACTTCCTCATTTTTCCCTCCATAAATTCCCCAAACTTCTTGTTCCCAACCCTAGGCTGCCCAAAAGTGTACACCCCTTCCAACCTGTTCAACAACCCTTCCTCCTCGTGAAACCCTAGCACTGCCGCAAACAGAATTGCTAGTGCCCCTCCCAAGCTGTGTCCTGTCACTACAAACTTTGCCTTCTCATGCTTTTGTAATAAGTCTCTCAGCTTCTGTCTAATTGTATAGTAAGCATATGATTTTTCGTTCAAACCTTGTTCTATCTTCTTAGGCCACCCTTTTCCCTTCTGTAAGCCCAATGCTTTCATAAAGCCACCATGGATTCTACCAACATTCTCGAGCTCATACCATGAGATGTCCACATCTGTGCACCACTTGTCTGCGTCGAATGGCTCGGTTCCTCTAAAGGCCACCATGATTAGGTCAGAATTAGTGCTTGTATCGTGGAACATGATAGCTTGGGTTGATGATTGATTCTGATAATCTGTGACACATTGGTTCCGGATTAAAATTCTCTGTTAATATACAAAGTGATGGAGTTAAGAATTTATTTTAGTAAAAATAATATATAATTAAATAAAGTATTTTTAAAAACTAAAATAGTATTTAAGAACTTGAATTAGATTGATGGTATTTTTATTTATGAGGGTATCCTGCATCGTTTTTTAAGAGGTATAATTAAGAGGTGGGGGTCAACTTTCATTTCCCTTTCATCATATCCTTCTTAGGTCATATTTTTTAAAAGACAATTTATAGACACTGACTCAATATATAATTTTTTTTAGCACACTCAATAGATGATAATTAGTTAAGTAACCTATTCAACAAAAAATAAAAAATAAAAAAAATTAATAACAACTTATATCATAATTAAAAAGTATGTTAGTATCTCACCATTCCAGAAGCTGAAGAACCCCAAGAATTCCATCTGACAAAAAGACAATTTAGGACACATTATTAATAATATATCATCATCATTCTATGCATATTGAGTACAAAATTAATTATTAGTATCTTAGCTAGGCTAGCTGATAATTAATTACGTACATACATTCCAGTGCTCTGTGACTATAGTTTGGACAAAAGCTGCATTCTCATAGGCCAATTTAGCAGCCATCATAGACAGTGATGTAGCATATCTTCTGTCCCCATTTCTCATATTTTTATCTAATTCCACCCTTAGATCAAGATTTCCCACCACAGATGTGAAAGTTGCTGATGTTCTGTTTGGCCACACAAAGTTTCCTACATATTATAATTAAACAATTTGAATTACTGCATTAGGTAATGGAGTGAACAAACATAATTAAGCATTACCTTGATTTGAGAATCATCATTATACAACACACACACACACACACACACACACACACACGAAGTCTGGCACTCTAAAATCCATCGGAACCACTAATTTGCTAGACTATCGAAACATCTGCATGCACATTTTATACACATAAAATAATTTAAAAAGAATTTTAAATTATCCAAAGACAAAAAGTAAAATAAAATAATTGTTTAAGTTATTGGACAGTGTTACATATATATTCATTTATACCCATTTCAATTTTCATTAAGATTTGTTGTGGGACACCTCCATCACTGTGTTAATATATTTTTTCCAAGTTAATTAGAAAACTATATTTAAAAAAGAGGAGATTTAAGGAGTCCTTATCATATTCTTATCTCGTCCTCTTACTTCTGTCATCAGAATTATTCTCTTTATTTTATTTTTTTATTATATTTTAAACTCTCTAATCTCTCATAGAAGAATTCTTTGAGAGAGAATTCTGTTGAAATTAAGGAACTAATAATAGGATTAGATAAGAATATGATAAAAGACTTAGTCTTCTCCTTCTTAATGATCTTTCAATACACAGAAAAGGATCTAAATTCATCCTTGCAGTTGGTTGTAATGCTACAATCAAGACTAGAAGCATTCATCATTCTATATATTGAACCTTAATGTTATGCTCATGACCTGGTGTGCTACTGACCGTTAAATGTGGACATGTAACAATCAAGAAGACTAGAAGCATTCAAACCACGAGAGACATCATGTTGCTTCAAGAAAATTTGAAGCCCATAACAACAACAACAACAAGAAGTAAAATAAAAAATAAAATGAAATAATTTTCAAGCATGGATGTGCACTATATATAGCTATGACATTAATGTGTGCCCAAGAAACAGTTACGACATGAAGACTATCCATGGAGGAAAGGAAAATAAAATCACTATGCAAAATTAAGCTTGTAAGGAATTAAAGCACAAACACACACACACACACACACACATATATAAACCTAACCTTTTAGGGTATTTAGCAAAAATGGGAAGAAAGCACCACCATTGCTTGACAGGAGATTGAGCCACATCTCGAGCAAGAACCCTATCCGAGCCAAGGGTTTTTTCAAGTAAAGGAGGAGTTTCTGCGCAAGGAAGGAGACGGACACGATCCATCTATACTCGAGTCCTCTGATCAGTTTCCCTACACCAGAGAATTCAACAAACTCTCTTTTGTCTAATTCAGATGAACGTAATATACGAACAAGATCGAAAAGACTACCTTCTTCTGGTTTCAACACCAGATAGTCCTTGCAGAATTCTTCATCACAAGCCATAGCTTAGAATGCAGTATTGAAATGATGGAAGAAGTTATGAATGATCGGTTGCTATATCAGTGTCTCAACTGCATATATGTAAAAAATAGCAATGAGCTATTGTATTTTGTATGCATATTTTTTGACGTGTAGAGAATAGATTGAGGAGAACATATTGGGTGTGGTGGGTATGAATTGCTATGTCCAACCAATGAAAACTTGTGAAGTGACTCGGTTTATTTTCTTGAAATACTCCCCAAAGCAACATAATATGGTGAACTTTTATAAAAAGTCTAGTTAAATTTATTTGTCAAAATGAAATAGTTGTTGATAGCGTGAAGTGGGATCTAAAACCGGCCACAAATCATCAATGATGATAATTATTTTACTTTAAAAAATAAGTTGAAATAAAAGGCATGAATATTATTTTCGTTTTAAGTTAGGCACACTTAATATTTACTGGAGAATGCATATGCTTTACAATGTGGTCAACCCTCACAATGGAATATTTATTCAAAGAAAGATGCCTTGTCCATCATTCTTTATCTTAGTATGTTCAAATATTAAATTAAAAAAGATGGCTTATTATAGTAATTAAATAAATCCAAGTCCAGGTTTGCCCCTGTGATTTAGTCCATTAATCGTAGTTTAAGTAGCTTAAGTTAGATCTTTAAAGTGGCTTACCTAAATTGCCTGTTGATCTACACAACTACCCATGACAAGACATCACTTTGTTGAATTACCTACGAAAATTAATGAAGGGTCATAGCGTCAATTTACAAATATTTATACCTATCACTCTTTACCTCTCTTTTTTTTTTTTTTTAACAAACTCTAAATTAAAAAAACAACATAACTTGAATTTGATGCCATCTGAATAATGATTAAAAACAATGAACCAAGTGTTTGAAAATATGCCAAAAAAAATATTGTAACTAGAAGTAATTAGAAACATGTTATTGATGAATAATTTATACAAATTACAAGCTAAATCACCCCTGGAACCAAATTGCCAGTAGAAGAAACAAACAGACCATAATTTGATCTCATTCACGTTTAAGACCTTGGTAAGGAAGTAATGGAGGTAGGGAGTCTAATCTGGTGGCATTAACGTAATCTTCAGGTCCATGAGCCGGTAATCCTGGAATTGCCAACCCCATAACCCTAACAAATCTCAAAAACCAGCCTTCCTTGTAGTCTGGACCCTTGATGTATGGGATTATGAAACTCCTAATCAGCTCCCAAACAGAGTTTAAGATCTTGGGAATTACCCACAGGAGTGAGAAGTAGTTCTTGTTTGGTTCCTCCGACACAACCTGGATTTCATCATAGTTTCACTTTGTTAGTCACTGTCAAATTTTGCATAACATAAATTAATGTCAATGACTTGAGCCAAACACAGTTTAGATTAGAAGATGAATGATGTAAATGCAGAGCATTACTCTGCATTTACAGCACATATACTCTCATTTTTTGGTAAAGCAAACGTATATATCTTAAGATTGATTCATCATGAGTATTAAACATTGCTCCCACTTTGACAATTATATTTGTCCACTATGTTATTATGACACAATATAATATAGACTATGGAGTACTTTAGGTGGTTTTATTTGAATATTAATCTTTAAAGTCATCACCCAATTTGACAATTATAGTTATCCACTATGTTATTATGACATATCACTATCACATTTCGTGATTAATACTATCCAATCATAAATGAATACATACTCTTTAATTACAAAAGTAAGAAAGTATAAATAAGTAAAATGAATCCAAATTAATCCTACTTCCATTTCTTTTTCTTTTCATATTTTTTTTATAAAAAAAAAAAAAATAAAATAACCAAAGGTTGTGTATCATTTAAGATTAATTGAAACGCATTAGTAATTAGTAAAAATAATCTACGTCTTATCTACGACTTCATTTACCCACAAGCATACACAAAAACACATGAATAGACAAATCCAAAAGTGAAGAGTACTCTGTGTGTGTGTGTGTGTGAGAGAGAGAGAGAGAGAGAGAGAGAGAGAGAGAGACTGACCTTGCCTTTGTAGGAGCTGTTGTAGTAGAGACAGGTCCCAAAGTGCTTAAACAACATAATTCCATTATCATATGGCAATCTAGGCACTATGTCATTGCAATAAACAAACCTAATATATTTCACATCATGCACCCTCAACTTTTCTTCCATAAACTCCCCAAACTTCTCGTCTCCAACCCTAGGCTGCCCAAAAGTGTACACCCCTTCCAACCTCTCCAACAACCATGCATCCTCATCCTCATGTAACCCTAACACTGCCACAAACAGAATTGCTAGTGCCCCTCCCAAGCTGTGTCCTGTCACTGCAAACTTTGCATTCTCATTCTTTTGTAATAGCTCTCTCAGCTTCTGTCTTATTGTGTAGTAAGCAAATTGTTTTTCCGGGGATTGATTTATCTCCTTGGGCCACCCTTTGCCCTTCTGTAAACCCAAGCCTTTCATAAAGCCACCATGGATTCTACCAACGTTCTCAATGTCATACCATGAGATGTCCACATCTGTGACCCAATCGTCGGCGTCGAACGGATCGGTTCCTCTAAAGGCCACCATGATCAGGTCAGGGTTAGCACTTGTATCTTGGAACATCATAGCTTGGGTCGTGTATTTTTTCTGAAAATCTGTGAAACAGTGATGGAATCAATAATTTAGATATACAAAACTATTTTACCATATTTGGAGTTGGAGTGATTGCACATATTCGGATTTACTTATATAAAACCTTCACTGAGTGTAACTCCCTTATATATATATATATATATTGTGTTTCAATATTACTTTGTTCCCTCCCATAAAACACTCCTACAAATAGAAGAGGAATATTTTTTTTAGTGTGAAGAAAAACACTTCAATGGTTGATGAGTAAAAAAACCTTCCCTAGATCACTTATGAATTGGAAGTTATATATATATATATATATATAATATTACAGATTAGGACCTGTCTGGGCATGATTTAAAAATCAAATTGTCTATATATAATATTTGTGATCAAGACTTTATATATATATCTTTTTAATCAGTTATTGATTATACTTGAATGTCCAGTTGTCATTCTCTTTTTAAATTAATAGCTCTATTTTAATCAGAATTATGCTCGATGATATAGACTCTTAGTGATGCGGAAAAGCCAACTGATCAAGAAATCATTAATTAAGCAATGAGATATAATCAATTAATTATAGCTGGGAGAATGATCTCTCGTGAGAGCAGTCTCATATTAACTTATTTCAATGTAGAACTGGTTGCGTGACTATGAAAACCATTTAAACTGTTGGAAGGCCAAATGGGCGGGTTACAGTTTTAACCAGAGACGTACTCATTTTCGATCAAAAACGAACTAATAATTAGATAGGAACTAAGAAGACTGTTGAATTTTTCCGGACAGTTTCATCATTTTGGGACGAATGTTGAATGTTACAACAGTGAAAGTTCCATCGTTTAGGGTCCCAAAAGAAAGACGGTTGAATATTTCTGAATTTGTTCGAGGTCTAAATAAACTTGAATTCTTCTGACTTTTTCTGTATATATTAGTTTGTAGTGATCAATTAAGTACAGATTCAATTCTATTCATTATTATCAATAACAGCTCAATTTACTTCAATTTAAAAGTATCTCAGTAGCTTCTCACCATTCCAGAAGTTGAAGAACTCCAAGAATTCCATCTGAAAAAGAGAATTTAGGACACATTATTAATTATATATCATCACCATTCTATGCATATTGAGTACAAAATTAAATAATTAATAACTTGGGCTAGCTGATAATAAATTACGTACCTTCCAGTGATCTCTGACAATAGTTTCGACAAAAGCTGCATTCTCATAGGCCAATTTAGCAGCCATCATAGACAGTGATGGAGCATATCTTGGGTCTCCATTTCTGATACTTGAATCTAGGTCTAGTCTTAGATCAATATTTCCCACCACAGATGTGAAGGTTGCTGATTTTTCGCTTGGTGGCGGCACAATGTTTCCTACAAATTATAACCAATTTGCATGATCAATACACATATATATACACACACACACACTAGTAAAAGTGTATGCACATTTTATGTAAAAGAATTATTATTATTATTTTGAATTATTTGAAGATGAGAACAGAAAATGTAACATTAAAAGAAAATGTAACATTAAATTATTGCCATAAAACAAAGCATGTAGTGAAAAACAACAATATCAACAACTAGTTTTTGAAATAGAATAAGAATGTGAGTGAACAAATCTAATAAAATGACAGTGCCGAAGTAAACATGTGATTAAATATTTACTAAAAAAATATATAAATTCAAAATTTTGTTTTGATATAAACAATTCTAATAGTGAAGTATTGATCAGAATTAATTAATTAGTTCGTGACCAAAATGCAATGAGAGGTTTATGAAAATGTAAGCTAATAATATAATAAACCAAAAGATATTGAAACAAAACTAGATGTTTAATATATTAATCATCAAAAAATAAGTATAAAAAAAATAAAATAAAATTCTATACAAAATTAATTAACCCTGGAAGCAAATTAAAACCAAACCTTTTCGGATTTTTTGCAAGAGTGAGAAGAAACCACCATTGATTGACACGAAGTTGAGCCACATAGTGAGCAAGTAGCCTATCAGTTTCATGGGCGTTTTCAAGTAAAGGAGGAGTTTCTGCGCAAGGACGGAGATGAACAGAATCCATCTGTACTCGAGCTTCTCTGTCTCCCGGCACTGAACAAACTGTCTTTTGTTTAATTCAGATGAATATAAGATACGAACAAGATCGAATAGACTAGCTTCTGCTGGTTTCAACACCAGATAATCCCGCCTGCCGAATTCTTCTTCTTCACAAGCCATGGCTTAGAATATATTAGCAGTATGAATTGAAATGATGAAGAAGATATATATGTGTGTGTGTGTGTGTGTACATCAACGTAGACCCAACTGCACATGTATTGAAAGCATTACCAATGAAGCTCTTGTATTTATAAACATAATTTTGACGTGTAGAGAATAGAGAGGCTTAACAATGTGTGGCCAACCCTCACAAATGGGAATTATTCAAAGAAAGATGCCTTTTCAATCACGTGTTCTTAATTCTCTTAAATTATAAAAGATGACTTGTTAGATTAATTAATTAAATCCAAGTCCAGGTTTGCCCTAAGGTGATTTAGTTCATTGATTGTAGTCTAGGTAGCTTAATGTGAACCTTTAAACTGGCTTTGCCTGTTAATATTCACAAGTACGGATGTCTTAATTAGACCATGACAAGAGACATAACTAGGGTTAAAGAAAATTAATAGAGTTCATTGACGACCCATTCCTCGCGCAAGTTTAAGTCTACTTAGAAATAATCATAAAGATTGGACGAATTAAAATGCAAACAAATTTGACTGTTTAGTACCACGTTGAAAATGACCTATCTTTGTCATGTCTTGAAATTTAGAAATTGCATGGAAAGTTAACAATAGAATGATTTACTTAGTGTTCATATGAATTAATGAAAAAAATGCATTAATTGTGTTTTTTTTGGTTAACACATGAATTGTGTTGTTTTCATTGATTTGATGATTATGACCCCTCCCTCATGTGTAAGATTAAGTCTACTCAGAAAAGAAAAAGTCAATAAGGTTGTGTGAATTAAAATGTACGCAGTTAGATCGACTACTTAATCCCAAGTAACAACATTCAAAACAACCTAACTTTGTCTCATCTTTGAAATTCAGAAATTGCATGGAAAGTGTTTGTTTTCAGAAGTGATTCTTGCTTAGAAGCTCGTTTGAGTGTCCCAGGCTGCCAAACAGGCCTTGAAAGTCTGTAAATCAAATTCAAGTGTTATACGTTATCTCCATTTCTATTGACACATCTATTTGTTCTTTTATTAATATATTGCTTGAATTTCCAAATAATATATATATATAGTTACAATGGAAGAGCCATTTAATATTGGGCTAGGTTTGGCATTCGTACATGCAAAGGTAGTCCTATGGTGATTTATTGTCGGAGATATCTTATATGAGAGGAAAATGTTTGATTCGAATATATATGGCCGTATGATTATAGTACTACCCCCGGTCTCATAATATGGGTCAATTTACTATTATTATTATTTTTTTTTAAATAAGAAGGGTTAGGAGTTAGATTAGTAAATGTGAATAGTCGAAACCTGACACTCCAGAGTTTACCAAAGGCACTAACTCATTGGACTATGAAGACATGTACAAGTGGAAATTGAGAAGTGCACGTTATCTCCTATTTTTACGACCTCCTTGTGATTTTTTCATTTGGAATATATTAGAGCACTTTAAACTGTTGTGTGTGTATATATATATATATATTTTGGGTAAATCTGATGTGTCATAAAATTTTTGGATGCTTTTTGGATGATTTATTTTTAACTTTAGTGGTTGTTTTATATCTTTTGTGTAAAAATATATTCCCCAATAACAACCAACCAGTGTCTACTGTCATGCCTGACCCAATAAATTTTTACAAACCTACTTAATACTGGCTTGATTCATTAATGAAATGAGAAACAATAGCAGAAAGCAAATATGCTGATGTGGCTATGTAAAAATGTTGTGAAAAATATACAACAATTTTACAAATGGTGACACGATAATGTAGCTTAACAAACTGGAGATAAAAAAAAAATTACACATCATACGTGGTAGTATATATTTTACACAAAAGAGTGTTTTAAAATATTTCTGAAGATGCTCTTAGCCATTCTTTTTTGATCTCTAATTTGTTATTTCTGCTCTGTCCTTTTGTGGATTTGTTTAGATTGAGAACTATATATTGTATGATTATGTTTAGTTAATTAGTTGTTTCCTCTAAAGCAACATTTACTTGTTTTCTATATATTTAGGATAAAGTGTAAGAAAAACCTAAGTTATATAAATAATAATAAAGAATACTCCTACTATTTATTATGTGCATATAAATTCTTAGTATTTTCGAATGTTGGAGTAAATTGTTCCCTGATCATCAATTTTAACCAATTATTATTATTATAAAACTCCTAAATACCCTTAAAAGAATTTTAAATATTTATTTTAATAATAAATAAATAAGTAAAAGAAACTTTTCGTTTTAGTTCTATAATTTTTTAAAATATTACCTTAGTTTATTTATTTATATTTTGTTTGAAGGGTATTTTAGGTATTTCAGCCTTTTGCTCATTTTGAAAAATTATAGGATTTTTTTTTTTTTTACAACAAAAAAATGCAGTAGATTTAGGGAGTGGATATTACTGTACACAAAGTTGGGCAAGCGACCGAGTCTTCCGAATTGTGACAAAAGACCTCAACTGCATCATGTGCTAGACCCAAGAGACAATTTGCCACCCATAGGTTTCTAGACGAATTTACACTATATATATATACACACACACACACACACACAAAGTGTACGTCTACACCGTCAAGTTATGACTTGCGTCTTCGCAAATCTCTATCACGTCCCACTAACCAAAGTAATTCCAACTAAAAATCCAACGGTGGATAACGATAGGTGGATGGCTTTTCTCCATGATTCAATGAACAGTAAAAAAAACATCACAAATCCAACGGTGGTGGATAAGAACACGGTGGATGTCTTTTTCTCAATGTCCAATCAACACTGCGACATCAAATCACTGCAAATCCACTACTTTTCTTCCCATCTTTACTTGATAATACGGAGTTCTATTTATTTATTATTATTATTTTTAACAACAATGGGTATCTGCACATTCTCTCTCTCTATATATTTTTTAAACTTTACCCATATATAATATATATAAAGGCTGCTGATATTCGTGCTTCAACAATCCACTTTCTTTCTTTCTAAAATGAGATTAAAAAAAAATAAAAAAAAAATAGAACCCGCGCACATAAATCTTAATGCCATATATTATTACCCTTTTCTATTAAAGTTAGGAGTGCTCTAAAATCTAATTCCCTATCTTCTCTGTCATGTTATCCTCTCCCTAAATCTACTAATTAAAATTAATGATATTGAATCATAAAATTAATGATATTGTTGTTATTACAATTTCTTAGTTTAACAGAGAGAAATCATGCCTCCACAATACCTGGCAGAGAGAAAGAAATCCCAATTAATAATAGCACATGCAACTAGAGCCCAATTTGAGAATAAATTAGTTGTACATGTTCTTCTTCTTTTCCTTTTTTCTTGTATCAAGTCAGTGACTTGAAATTCTTCAACAATTAATGCTTTCTATTAATGGAGATCTTTCTTTCATGCATAAGATTGGATCAAAGTAGATGCCTTAACTGCTGTTTTGGAAGAACAATTTCTCCCCACAAATTCTCAGGTACTGGTTTCTTCAATGGCTCTGGGCCACCCAATCATGGTGTTGCATTGGTTTCCGCTGTGTTCTCCTCCAACTTCCCTAACTATTACTCCATTATAAGTTATAAGCTCGTTCACTGAATCAATCAAACTTCTAATTTCTTCTAGGTAGATTTATTACTTCAATTAAGAGTTATGATAGGAATTTAGATTTTATGTGAGTAAGGGGTTAATTTCATTATGAAGTTATATATTAATGACATCACGATGATGTCACCTCCCACACACATAAATTAACCAAAATTATGGGACTTTTGAATTTCAAATTGAATTAATCAAAGTTTTGATTTTTTCTTATAAAACTATTGAATTTATATGTTTGGGTCATTGATTTGTAGTAGGGGAGAAATTAAGGGTACGCGAGAGAATTGATTTGTAGTAAGGAAGAAATTAAGGGAACGTGAGAGAGTAGATTACTATTAAAATTCAATTAAGGCTAATCTTAATAAAGAAGGGTGGGAATCACATTAAAAATGTAAGAATTATGTATTGTTAGTTTGGGAATTTTTATTTATAATTTTTTCTTACGAGAATTAAAAAGGTTGAAGTCAAAATTTTATATTGACCACGTTTTGTTTGCTTTTTTAACCTACCTTCAATTACCTACCACATGCCGTGTTAGTTTGATTATTCTCCAACTTGAAAAATCAAAGAAATGAAGAGGACGGAGGAACTTAGAAAAAACACCTTTCTTTTTAGCCCAACATATTCGTCACTTCTCAAGTTTAGAGCAACTTCCCAAATTTTTTTTAAGAAAAAAAGAAAAGCTTTACCCTTCCAAAAAAAAAAAAAAAAAAAAAAAAAAAATTCCTCAAATTATGAAAGAGAATTTTGTCAAATATACAATTCTTTTGTCAAACAGAACTTTACTTTAATAAAAAAATAATAATAAAAAAAGTCAACAATGTCAGTTAGTAACTAAGTGCAAAGAGTTTAAGGTAAACTACAATGACCTCCTCTGAGGCTTGGCCTAATAACAAACAAACATGAGGTTTGGCATTTTTTTACAAAGACCTTCCCATGTCAGATTTTGTGATGAATTTACTTATTTACCCTTGTTATTATATTGTTAAATATTTAAAAATTAAAATGACTATTTTGCCCTCAACCATACAATTACTTTTCTTCCCTTTTTTTTCTCTCTCCCCCACGCCCTCTCTCTCTTTTTAGCACCGCCGCCGCTACCATGAACTATGTTGAAGCTATCGTCGTGAACCACGACACTACCATCGTGATCTAACTTTGAACCTGGTCGCGAGATCAACCTCTCTGTCGCAGAGCGTGAGATCTTTGCATAGTTGTTTCGCAATACATATCGGTGGTGGTTGCGGCCGGGGGGGGGGGGGGGGGGTTGAGGACGGTGGCGGCGGTGATCTGCAACGTGATCTGTCGTGGCCGACGTAGCTTCGGCCCACGGCGGCGGTGGCACGGCTATGATATTGCCCCTTTTATTTGGCTGACAGAGAATACATGAGAGAGCTCCTTAAGGCCTGTAGCAATTGGGTTCAATTCCATTCCCTTGCATCTTTTTACAGCAGCTGGCAATTGTTTTTTTTGGGTCCTCTTTAGCCTTCTTTGATTTGTTGCCCTCTTTGATTTGTTGAACAAGAAGTGTGTCTATCGCCACCT